CGAGCCGCTCCATCAGGTACATTAGGCCTGTCGTGTTTACTTCGACGTTTAGTTGCCAGAAAATTTAACCATGCATTAGTAGACACCGTCAGAGACAGGTCATCTAGTTTTTCTTCTTCTTTTTCTTAAAAAGAACCCCCTTAACGTAAGATACTAAAGATTTATCGTACCCTCCATAAATTGAGTAAAAAAATTTGTTTTTAAATATTTGTGAGCTTTTTTTAAAAGTATCATAACCATATATAAAGTGTTATAACCATCATATTCATCGGATCGATACGGTAAGAGAAAAAACTTTTGTTTTTATTTTTGTTTTCATAATAATTTGGCTGACAATTTTTGAGTAAAATCATACATGTTCACCGCTGTGCAGAGAAACTATACTTTGAAACGGGAAATTTTCAATTGACGTACACGAAACGGAGGAAAAATTCGATGTACTGTACGTAATATTGGAATAAAGTTTTTCGAAAAGTGCAAAGTTTCTATCGAAAAAAAAGACAGAGCGCGGAGAAAACGAAAAATAGTTTTTGGCCATCGGAAATAATTGATCCACATCCGTCATCCCGAGCACGAAACCGAAATTCCATGCCAAAACAAGGCGCGTTGATAACTCATTAAATAACCCCGAGGAGACCTTCAAGTTAGCACTCGCAATCAGCGATACTATCGAATGCCAAGTTTTTTCGAAGTAAAAGACACACGAGCCACTGGCTGTCACGAGAAAGACTTTTTGCTCGTAATAAATCGCGCTCGCCGAACGGAACTTTTCGCGCACGACCGCATCAAAACCTCACCACCAGCATCGGTGGCATGAAAAATTCCTCTCAAAAATTGCAAGAAAAAAAAAAAAAAAGAAATTCACACACATCCCTCCAAGATGACATTTAGCGCGTTGCGAGTTTTAATTGCCCTTGACTTGCAGCACGTACGTCTACATTGTAACGTGTACGTATATACAAACGGAAGATAAGTGCAAGAAAAAAAAAAAAAAAAAAAAAAAAAGAAACTTTGCGCGCGGAGGTGGAGTTACGTAACGTCAGAAGTTTTTTTTCCCCCGAAGACGAACGAGGGGGTAAAAAAAAAGAGGCTCGCGAGCTCGTCTCCCTCGAGAGGCAACGACGCAAGTTCCATCTCTCGCTGGGATCGCACCTTACATCATTACGTTGTACCCACACACGTAACTTTTTCTTTTCCCTTCTTTATATCACCATTATGATTGTTTTCATCAGATAAATGGGGGAAGCTACGTATTTTTGTTACCCAATGGCTTTCCGACGCCTATTTGCACGCGCGGATGAGGCCGTCGTGTGCACTTTGACTCGACTCTCTTGTACACCTACCTACCCCTTTTTCACAAGCCTCCTTCTCCTCCTTCTCCTCCCTCTTCGTGACCTTTTATCCCCTCGTCGATGCGCGAAGCACAAGTGCGTTCCTCGACCTACATTGTACACGTAAATATACACATATATGTATGTGGGTTTACAAAAAAACGCATTTTATTATTACACGTGACTACACCTCGACTCCTTATCTTTGCATGATACACCCTCTTTTTTTTATTTCATACCATCAACCCTCGTTTTATCGAAATATATACTCGAGTGATGGTTGGATGTATGTGCATCCATACATAGGGAACGAAAATGGGACATTTTTTTTTTTTTTTTTTTGACGCTCGATTTGATTTTGACGAGTCATTTGGTTCGCACACGACGGTACGACGTTATAGGAAATACTCGTATGGTTACCTTATATATGGAAAAACACGATAGGAAAATATAGGGAGGCTCGTTGATTTACGGGAAAAAAGGGGACAAGTTGTTTTTAATTTTCGGGGAAAATGGTGTACTGAGATTTTCGTCGCATCTTTTTTTTTCATATGTTTATTACAAGGGTGGGTATGATTTTTTTTCCTCAAAAATAAACTTGAAAGGGTATCTTGTTCGTTCAATTTACATAAATGTGATTTTTTTTTTTTTTTTTTTTCATAAAATTCTATTACTTAATTTCTTGCGTTGGATACACCCCGAGCTACTTTATATCCACTGAATTCCATACCAATAAAAATCCTAAATTTCGCAAAAAAAAAAATGGTTTTTCCCGCCTTTCTGCCAAAATTTTACCGCCCTCGTACCATCAATTAGTCCAAAAATCAAACAGTAAGATTATCCAAATCAAGTACACGCGCGCCTAAAGTATACCCAAAATGGCATGATACACACCATCGCATGTATACGCAATATACATCACGAGCATTAGACACATAAAAATATGATCATCCAAACGCTGGCGAAACACTTTTACGTACCTCTTACTTCCCTAAGTGCAAAAAAAAAAAAAAAAAAAAAGAAAACTCCCCAAGGCTTTTTTTTTCACGAGCCAAAGGTTCGCACGCGCCTCAAAGACACCGAGTTCGTGTGCGCGCGCCTGTGTCCGTAAAAAAAGGTCTGCGGCAATTTTTCCCGCAGAGCAGCAGTATAGCTACAAGATTAATGATGTGCCGCCGGTGTTGTACGTACACACACATACATATGTACGGGTATAAACCCGGTAAGGGTTTTGTTTAACAAAGTGCGTGGAATAATAGATCGGGGGGACGACGGGAGGCAATATCCTTCCGAAAGGGGTTTTAAGGACGAGATTAATTTTTGTTTCTTTTTTTTTTTTTTTTTTTTCTTTTAATCTAAGGCATTATCCAGTGTGATGTAAGAGGTAATAATTTATGCAGAATGCACTTTCTTTTTTTTTTTTTTTTTTTCCTCATTGTCTCGGCGTCGTGAAATTTATCGATCCACGCCGATGGCAGTACAACCATATACACCGTGTACAACGTTTTCAATCACGAAAGCTCGCAAAAACTTTGCACTAACATTTTTTCGTACGAAAAACAACGCATGCACACGCACGTAGCTAGAAAAAATAAAAATAAAAAAGACATTCCGAGATATCGCGGAGGGATGCAAACACGCGGCACGCTTTTGCAGTATAGTTTACAGGCAACAAAATAATTGAGCTTTTGAGGATTTTTTTTGTTTTTTTTTCTTTGTTTTTCCACCAGTGTGCACGTTTGTGAGTAAATTTCTAGCGTAGCAACCGTAGTTACATCAATGGCATGAAAATTCAACAAAACCTCGTATATTTGCCGCATAACGTTAGCACGAGTTGCAAAAAGCTCAAACGAGCCAACGCAAAGCATAAAAAATGTACACATTTTTAAATCTGAGTTGAGTGTTGCAGGATGATAAGGGCTCGTTGTGGAGCTCGAGAGGAGCTGAACGTCATCGTCACTCGACCACCACCGCCTCCCTTTTTTATTTGTTTTTTTTTTTCTCCCCTTTCCGTACACCGGCTTTCACCGTACCTTGGCCGGCACTTGGCGCAGAGTTTAATTACGAGAAGCCAACAAAGGTCTCATACTAATTAAACAACAGTTGCAGAAACGGCTCGCGATGTTTTAGGGTTTCGTTCGTCGTGTGCGCTATACGTACCTCCCCAAGTTCGTTTGTTTGTACAAGTATAAGTGCAGTAGCAGGAAGGTGAGACCATTTTTTATTGGTGGCACGGTAAATGTGTTCCAAACCAAACGGGTACGATTTTCAGTGCACTCGGTGTGACATTACACGCGCTAAGTTGAACTTCACTCGTCGAGTGTCATTTCTCCATTTCTTTTGGAACAAAAAAAATTGCAGCGCGTTAGCTCCAAGTACAAATCATAAACAATGCGAAACGAACATTGCCGCGCGAAAAGCTACAGCTGGATTTATCGCGTGAAAGGCCGTTTTGCAGTCCCAGAACCGATAGTTTGGAGGGGAAAAAAAACAGAGAGCAATCGGTTATCGATTTTCCGCCCGACGGAACGGAGTTAATCCTAATACCCATTGGCTTTTTTCTTTCCCCCCCCCCGCGCTTGTTTTTTTTCTTTCTCCTAATACATATCGATTCAATGAAACGCTAAAAGTAAGTAACGCTCTCTCTCTCTCTCTCTCGGCCAGGCATTGTTGAAACGGAGGTGTGCGCGCGAGCCGAAAGGCAAATCTATCGGTGTACACAACGCTCGTACGCACGAAACGTCGATATTTTTTTTCTTCTTTTTTCATTGTTGCGTCTGTACGTTTGCTCGGTAGGTGTACGTTTACTTGCGTTTCTACTTCGTCAAAAAAGGCATACCTATAATAAGTAAAAACTGTATGTGTACTTACAAATAATTTCCTTACGAAATGTCTTTCGCTCTCGCGCAAGTGCAGGATAAAAAAAAAGGCACTTAAGCTCAATCCAAGACTAAATTACCTCTACCACCATCACCGGCAGCGGAAGCACCGCTTCAACCTTATCCCCGGAAATCCCCTCTTTTTTTTGACAAATATAAATCCTCCGGAGCCATTCTTGCACACGTATAAGTATATACATCATTCATATACCCGGCTTTCACCTTCAACCCGAGCCCCCAGCCACTTTACTCCTCTCCACTTGGCTCCCGACACTCTCTCCAGGCGGCGATGATCTCATGACGATGCCGGCTCTCTCGAGCCCGCGTGTATACATGTATATATACATGGGTAGCAGAGACGAAAGGAGTCTATAAGGCTTATACATAAGTACATACACATAATTATATACATGCACCAAGTCTACTTATTGGTGAAACTGGTGGGACCCGTTGCTGTGTTCGCGATATGCGACTCGTGCTCGATTCGGCGACGAATTTGTATGTACATCCCCGGTGTATCAATTCAAACTCGTGACGTGATTTTCGGAAAATCAAGTTAGCTCATTGGGTTTGGGGAAACGCGATTTCCCTCCCAACGCCGATTTGTTCGTCAATGTTTGATATTTTCAATGTTGGTGCGTCAGTGCCTTTGTTTGTTGGACGTGTATTTTATATAACAATTAAAACAAAAAACAATTGTTTTTCCATCGATATCGTTATATGTGTTGTGTGTTGTGTGTGTGTGTGTGTGTGTGTGTGTGTGTGTGTGTGTATTACGTGATTAAATGTTTGATTATCACAAGTATATAGATGAGAAAATTATCGCGTCTGGATGATTTAGTGGCTTTTAAACGATACATATTACACAAGGGGAAAGCCGGAAAAGAGAGGGAATTACGAGGTTTTTCTTTCTTTTTTTTCTTCGAATAATCTCGACTGACACATGGATTACGCGTCCATGACAAAAGTTTGATTTATCGCCGCGACCACAAGGTTTATACGCTCTTTTTTTTTATAAACTTTAATTTCATTGATTCGCCCTGTTAATTACAGATCGTGTGTTCTCTTTGGGTTCGAGCGCGTTATATTTTGTAATCGCTTCGACGAGGCGCTATTCGGGAGGATTCATTAAAAAAAAAAAAAAAAAAAAAAAAAAAGACGCGCTAAATTCAGGGGGTAAATCCAGGGGGTATATCCGTGAGTCATAACAAGCGTTGTGGCTGTAAACGAGGGCGAAAGCTCCTAATTCCCGAAAAAGAAAAAAAAAAGGAAAAAAAAAAAACCGAGCGGGGTGCGTGCATTGCAGGTGATAAGTTGCAACAAAAACATATGCACGCTTCAAATAACGGACACAACGGGGTCCCATCAGTTTCCCGCGATGCAGCGGCTCTCGATAAGTAAGGGCCACGCCTTCATCCTCGTCTACTCGGTGTCGTCGCGCCAGAGCTTCGAGGAGCTCCGGCCCATCTGGGAGGTCATACGCGAGCTCAAGGGACAAGACATCACGCAGATACCCGTCATGCTGGTAAGTAAGCCTCTCTCTCTCTCTCCACCCACTGAATTATGTTAACGGCTCCCTCTATTGTGTATCCATATATATATNAACATGTATAAAGATAACAACGCGTCTTTGAGCGTTGATATATATATATATATATATATGTATATACCACTCCTCGTTAAGTACTTCCTATACCGTCCTCGCAATAATTATATAACGTGTATATAGGTGTACGTGGGTTGTACGTATGCGCATCCCATCGCACCCACCACCCCGACCCCCATCTCCCACAATAGAGGTAATTGCGGACTGTTTCTTTTTTCCCCCTTGGTTCAACTTTTTTCTTTTCCTTTTCATTTTGCGCGCGAAAGATCGCTGGTTTTATTGCCCTAATTGTCCTTTGTGCCGTCATAAAACTTTGCTCTTTAAACGCGAGTAAGGGGATTAACGTTGCCGGAGAGTCGAGGGGGAGGATGGGGGGTTCAAAGAGTATTATCGACTGAATTCGTTGGAAACCTTATTTATACACTCAAAGGTGTGTGTACACGGGTTTTTCTTATCCCACGTACGCGAATTGCCCGTAACTATGTACTCAAGCTGATTTTTTTTAATTTTATTATTTTTTTTTTTCGTAAAATGAAATTACATATTTTTGGCCTTTGTTTCGAGCGGATCCCATTTCATTTGCAATTGTTTACGCTCCGAGAATGCATTACGAAAATTGTTTTTTGTGTAATATAGGTAATCACATCAAAAAGGGTTGGTGTGGTTATACTTTGATTCCCCGGAGAGCGAATTTCAATTTTAAAAAGTGGATGCGTGTGCGATTTTTTTTCCACCCCACAGATGCTGATATCCCCTTTTTAAAGTAGACTTTCATGGGTCTTGCAATCATGAAATAAATATTAAAAATACCTACTCGTTTTAACACTCAAGTGTATGCAAAAATAAAGTCAAGGGAACCCCCCTTTCTAATTATGGAGTTTGAGATGCTGAAATTCCGTAACTTTCGACCTGCGCTCATCCGAGAATCATCCTTCGTGTACATATTTGCAAGAAAAGAAAGAAAAACTTGAGCGCCAACTACATGGTTACCGTTCATTAAACGTCAAAGGTCTAATTAAACCTTACTTTTTTTTTTTTTTTTTTTTTTTTTTTTTTTTTTTTTTTACACGCCCAGCAATCACTTGTTCGCTGCATTTCATCACACGCGTCACTTGGCTTTTCTTGTTTTAATTGCAGTAAAGGAAAAAAAAAAGTTAAAAAAAAATCTCTTTAATTATTTTCGCAAAAGCTACAACGTATTTAAATGTTACACACTTAATTAAAAGGTCAGACCTTCGAACAACCGCGCTACCTTCATCATCATTGATAATTGCACTCTGAAAACCGTATATCTACGTAATTATACAAATTCGTTAAAATCACTAAAATTATTATACCCGTTAAGCATGTATTTCCCAAAATCGATAAAAAAAACAAATACTGCGAGTACGTAATTTCTCATGAATTTACTTTTCATTAAAAATGATCTCCATCGTAACGTAGAATTTGCTCAATACTGTTCCACTTTCTCGACACGTGTAAATCGAAATGCGCGTGTGGCAAAAGCGATTTCCCGACACATTCGCATGGGATACGTGTACATCCGGAAAATAAGAAAATACGTTCCTCGTATGTTAATCTACTGAAACACGTGAAAAACACATTTCACCGACACCCGGAAAAGAAAAATAAAAAAACAAAAAAAGTTATTTTTCTCTTGGTAATCGTGAAACCGAAATATATGTACCTCGTACATATTCATAAAATATAAATCCCTTTAGTTTCTTTCAAAAATCTAAAGAACTGGTGTCAATTATTTTGCAAAAAAAATCTTTCTGAATTTCTTTTTTAATACGTAAACATTTACATTAGAAAAAAAATTAAAATGGGATGTACTTATTAACTAATTAAATTTCGAAATTTTGAATTAAAAATTTTATTGTAATAATTTTTTTTGTAGCATACATTTTTTATACTCTCTTATTTACTGGAAATCTTCTTTTAAGAATAATGTACCAATAATAATAGAAAAAAAAAAAAAAAGTTTAAGTAAAACATTTCAGCAAATAATATACGTTATGTAGTTGTCTGATTATCGTAAATAAAAAAAAAAAATATTTCACCGACAAAAAAATCAATTAAGACATCTGTTAAATTCTGTTAAAATAAAGCATACTCACTGCAGAAAAAAAAAAAGATAAACATTTAAATAACATCAATAATCCAACAAATACAATTGCGATTGCTTGAGACACAAACGAAACTGTACGCAGGTACACAGAGACGGTAATTTTCCTAAACGACGTAACAAGTTGTAAGTCAAGCATATACTTCTGACCTACGCAAGGGAAGGACACTATGGGAGGAAGAAAAAAAAAAGTAGGAAAAGAAAAGTATCGGTGTCGAAGGTCACCAAGGCAGACGATGAACCATAAAAACGTCGGCAATGTGTAAGTAAGTTGAGGCTCTCTCCCAAAAAATTGTACACCTCACTTGCGTACGTGTCACCCTCTTTATATTCTCTCTCTCTTACTCTTGTCCACTTGCACTCGGGGTGGCAAGAGAGAAGGCGCCCCTCGAAAGCTCCAATCTCTCTCGAGACTTTCCTCTTGTTCGGAGGCCGTGAGTTTGTCACGCGACTGTACATGTGCACGTATATGGACGTACAAAATGCTGTACACACTTTTTGCACACAAGTGATGAAAAAAAAAAAGAGTGAATGGCTTGATGGCTATCGACTCGTCGCGTCTCGATACCTATCTGTATATAGCACACACATGTGCATAGTAGAGGGATGCCGGTGCAAAGATCGTGAGAACGGCGACATAAGTGTGCGTTTTTCTTCAACTTTTTGTTTGGTAAAATAAGTACTTAAAAGCACGTAGTATCGTCGTCTTGATCTTACGTGTAAAGTTTTTTCCGAGTGCACCTGAGAGGAGGTGCAGGTGGCAAAGCATTTTGTCAGCAGATTGGCCCACGGAGGGATGCAGGTACTACATACTATGCACTCGTACACATGTCACAACTGTACACTTAACGTGTGGATAATACTGGAAAGAGATTATTAAAAATGTGGCTAACGCGTGGGAATCTCTCTTGTATTATTATTACTTTGTAATTTAGATCGATATTCAATTGATGTGCTCGAAAAAAATATTTGATTAAATATCTATAATGTGTAGCTGTTGTGCCGAATTTTTTTCTGCCAGTCATGATATAAGTTGGGTTTTCAATTTACGCATTTGTAAATGTTAAATAACCGACGATCAATATTTTAAGAATCAATTTCCAAATTTTACCTCACTTCTGTATATGTATATGTATACCTATTCGTGATAAGGTCACGCAGTCTACAAATATATCGATATCTGTCGGAAAGAATACCTCATCTCATTTTTCAAGTAAAATCGGGATCGATTTTTAATAAAAAATTACTTACTGTGCCTCGACATAAAGTTCTATTGATACAATTAAGTGTGGAAACGTGGAAAAGTGGTGTGAAAATTCATGTAATTACAGACGGTACCAAAATAAAATATGTACGGTATAAATTTGCTTTTCGATTCCGCGATGGTACCTTGTTTAGCTTGCAATTAAAACTAGTACTTTTACTGGGTAATATTCAACACGGAACACTGCCTATTTCAACACGAGAAGAAAAAAAGAGAAACCACCTTCCTCCCACGCGTCGATGCATACCAGAAAGAAGGAATTTAATTTGACGCGAGACCCGTTTCCTCTTTGCGGCACTTTTTCCTACGATCCCGCATTTAAATACAAAAGAAAACGTCAGCGCAGAAAATTTACATCCACCTCTTTCCTCTGTACATACATCATTGAAAGAGCAAATTCAACATAGCACTCGTAACGAGAGAGTCAATCGGAATAGAGACCCGGAGAATATTGTAAACTCCAAATTTTTCCACATTGACTCGGCCTCGACCATCCCCCAAATGTTCCAAACGACCCGACTCATCGAGCCCAAAGATCAAAGAAAAAAAAATACGTATATTAATCTCCCGCGTGCCCATACGTGTCAGCTCGCGTTTTTCTAGTTCCCCGAAAGCAGTGACGCCGGCACTCGAACAAAAAACAATTACCTGGCGCTTTTATTCCACTCCTTTCGCGGTGGATGGCTAAAGGTCGATAAATACATTGGAGCAGCCGAGGGAGTTCCATTTTTACACTTTTTTCCACAAGTTTCGAGCGCAGGTCGCGTTCGGATGATTTCGGGAAATTGGTTTTTAATTAAAGTTCCGGAATACTTTGCAAAATGTTGTGACGTTACGTCAAGTTTTTTTTTTACAAAGTATTGGGTTGTATTGGCGCGGGGAGCGAAAAATGGAAAATAAATTGGATAAACTTGTCGCGTATGGACTGGATTTCTATTGAAATTGGAAAAAAACGGGGGAAAAAGAAAAAACATATTAGATGATCCTTATCTGTAAAGTCACGTCCTCTGCACGTGTCACATACTATACGGACGAGCCGTGTGCGTGTGTATTCGTACGTGGAGCAAACAACTAGATATTAATATTTCACAGAATTTAAATAACTAAAAAAAAAAAAAAAAGAATATCTGCAAAATATATTCAATAATTTTATCGGATGATTGATGATAATTTTCTGAGTGGAAAAATTTTTATCTCCGAATTATTCGATGGAGGCAATTTTCTTCGTATCGCTTTATCGATTTGAAATTTTGATAAAAAAATTCCAATTTCGAAAAACTCATGTTTATTTAACTTTAAAAAGAAAAGTCAATATTTATTTGCATTTTTGCGGATAAAAATCATAGCGGTATCAATGTACCTCCAGAACTACATATTTACATTGCAAATGAGACATGTGATGCCAGTTAAATTGAAAGTCGTTCAAAAAATCATTTTTTGTTTTATTTTAGAGATCAAGATAGTACACAATACTGATCTTTGTCGTAAACTAAACTCTTGTCCTTAATATGATTTATCAAAAAAAACGTAAATTATGTTGCAAAGTCAGGTTATTTATCAATATGCATAAAAATATTAAGGGTGGAGAGGTACAACTTTGAGAAGACATAAAAAATTATTAACGTAATCTTTTTTTTTTTTATTAAAAATCAAGACAACATCAAAAGAAGATGTAAATAGTATCCAACGAGACAAAAAAAAAAGGATTATTGTTTTTACCTTGGAGCTTTTACCAGCGTGTCTATCTATACATACATATAAATTTTTTGAGGATTAACTTTGTTTAAAATGATTATTAAAATTAATTTCCAGAGTCTTATGGCAATGGTAGGAAAATAAAAAGAAAAGAAATTTTCCTACAAAAACCACAAATCTCTCAAGATACTTCACTGAAAAGAGCGGATGGTTTACTAGAGACATTTCGATTGTCTCCTCATATTTTTATCCACATAGTTTATGAAACACCGTAAATTTCGACTAATGTAGATAATTACTATTTTGTGATAACAATACGAGATGAATTCGTAAACTTGCCAAACAGTCAAATAAACCCGACTGGCCTACACAAAGAGATCCTTGAAGAACAGCGACCGAATCGAAATTGTCGAGCCAAGAGTTCCAACTTGAAAGGGATACAAACAACATGTTTATATACGTGCTCGTACGACACCGTACACACACATAAAGGTACTCGAGAAAGAGGAGATTTCCTCGTGCCTCATCGTTAAAGAGCAAACGCCTCGTTGAACTTGCGTCACGCGTATGCGGTGTGTGTGTGTGTGTGTGTGTGCACAAGACCCAAGCACACGCACGAGTGCTTTAAATGGGATTAGACGCTCAGTTCCGCCTGCATATACACGGAAATTCTAGTCGGCGTGTAATATCATGTACTGTAATCCCGTGAGCTCGTTGGTGTTTTACTTTATTGATTATTTTGGACCAAAAAAAATACAATACGCAGCAGAGACTGCAGAGATATCAAAAAAGGGTAAAGAAAAAGGATTTTCAAATGAGACTTTGGGTTGAGTTGGGGAGTAATATAAGTTACGTGTGACTTGCGCTTACACTCTTTTAAATCAAAAAATGTGAATAATGAAAGAGGGATGATATTTTTTTTGTCGAGTAGCACAAATCTTGAATGTATTGTTGATGAAAAAACGCGGACAAAAGTTTCAAGTGAGATTTTTTTGGTCGAAAAATATAGCGCTCTGGTCGAAAGGGACAGGAAGTTTGGACAAAAATCACCAATGTATATACAAGTCTCATTCGAAAGCTTTATTTTCTGCGTGCATTGTTTTGGGTGATTTCAATTACCAAACCAAAATCGGTGCTGATGGCTCACTGGTTAGCCCGCTCGTTAACAAACGCGATGGCGTTGCCGACAATAAAATGGCTCGAAAGATTTTATTTCTTACATCGTCCACGAAGAAACCTGAACTCCTGGTAAACATTTATTTTCGTGTGGCTAAAGCTCAAAGCTCCCGATTACTTTTCGAGCAAACGTTACTTCTAAAACGTATCCATGAAAAAATAACTTTGTACTTTGTGCCATTCCCGTTTATAATAAATCTTTCAGCAATGCGAAAACGAAGGGTAATACGTCGCGAGGCTAGCCGTATCGATCAAGCCAAAGACAATCAAATGAGTATACCCACAAGGACACGAGCTTTCAAGTCTGAGTGTTGTGTACAGCGTAAAAACTTTTCTTTATGTACCGTAGTTTCTTCTATGCCACGATTTGCCAGAACTCTCGACGTGCATGCACAACGCAAAACTGGTATATAGACTAGCAGTAACGTCAAAGCCAGCCAGGCAGCAATGAATCTTCGAAAAGCTCCATGGCACGCGTCAACGCGCGACCATCGATACTCGCATGTGTCGTTTTGCTTTTTTTATCCACATCGCGAAAACCGGCCAAAGTTATATTTAAAACCCTGGAATTTTAATGGCACCGCGAGGCGCGTCCGACCCAACGCTGACCTGTTCTACTGAAGAAACGTACATTTAGATGTACATGTATTTGCGTGCACCCTCCGTTCGCCGCGAGTTTGGTACGCAAAGCTTGCATTATTCCGCTCACAACCTCGTTCCAAACTTTGCCCAGCGTAATATTTATACCCACCCCTGAGATGGGAATTGGCGTTAATCACCAATGGGGGGAGGAGGGATGCGCTCGAAGTAACCCCCAAAGTTCCCTGCACCATCCACAAATCGCCGGGGACGTTGCGAGAGCAAGGAACAAAGGTATTATATTATATTATCATAATAAAAGCAACTTTCGAATGTCCTCGCAGGTGGGTAACAAGTGCGACGAGAGCCAGTCGAGGCGGGAGGTGGCGATGAGCGAGGGCCAAGCGGAGGCGGACAGGTGGGGCTGCGGCTTCCTCGAGACCTCGGCCAAGACGAACCACAACGTGAACACGTTGTTCCGTGACCTGCTCACCCTGGAGAAGAACCGGTCGGTCTCGCTACAGCCGGTCCAGAGCAACAACTCCATCAGCTTCAAGGAAAAGTGCTCCGTCATGTGAACGGCCACTCGTTGGTTCTTTTCTCTACCGTATCATGTCTATATATATGTATACTTTTTTTTCCTCTTTCTTGTCCTTCGCCCGCGCGGAACGTGACTTTTTTTGAATCGTCTCCCGACGAGAACTATGGGCGATGCGACGACTCTTGGGTGCGCTCTCTCGTAGCAAAAGAATCTATGTGTGTGCATAAGGTTGCTCGCGTGCACCTACGATGAAAACATGTGCTAGTCGGAACACTCGTCAGATACAGAGATACTTACGTCGGAAATCGTAACCGAGGCACGTAAAAAAATCGATCGGTGACGCGTGCAGTCATTTTACGTGGCCTTCCTTTTTGGAACCCGAGCGCCAGAAGATGATGGAAGGCAAACAAACGTTCGGAGACCTTTTCCTCCGTCGTTTCGCGGGTGAGGAGGGAAATCGGAGCCGCGATTGACGCAAGGGGGAAACAAAAGCCGGGCTCCGAGTGGTGGGTTAAGTGCAGGCGCCGGGATACTCGAGGTGCCGAATTACGTGCCTACGTGCTCTTTTTTTTTTTTTTTCCTCCGGCCGAAACGAGTCGCACTCTAGTACTCGACTTTGTCAAATTGACGCGCGAAACTCAGTCAGATTTTTCTTGTTAGCGTCGCTTTTTTCTTCCCACCGTTGTGGAACCACGTACATCGGAGTATGCCCCAATTGGAGCCGAGTGTTGCCAATCCGATCGTGACGAAATTCAGAAATGCGGGTGAACCAAGGGACACAAGCACGAATGCATCTTTTACATGGTCTCGAGACTCCTCTCAATTTAATCGACTAATGTGGAGTTTGCATGCGAGTCATCTACGGTAATGACATTCAAGGATTTTCGCCGCTTTGGTCGAGAAAAAACAAAGCCGATACACTCCCCGTTCTGGTTCTCAAAAGCTAATTCCATCCGTTGTGGCGGTGGTGGATACGTACGGAATAGAATACGTGTGCAGGACACGGGTGGCCGGAGCTCGCTCTCACGGTTAATTTATTTCGGTCGGCCCTCCGGTGTACCTACTTGCTTTTGTCGTCCGTCGGCTCGGGGAAGAAGACTAATCGACGGCTCGGACGTGGGAAATCTCTGTTTTTCCGGTTCAAAATGTTCCTGCTTGTGGGGGATCTTTTTAGCCAGTTTTTTTTTTTTTTTTTTAAACCATGTTTCCGAGGTCAATTCGATCTCCAAAACAATTCGATGTAGCACTGGAAACTATAGATCAATCGACGCTCGGGTTAAAGAAACCACCAACTTATTCGTACCATTTACGCGATCGATGGTGCATTGAAATATCTTTCGTAATTAAATTTGCGTCCGTTATTTTAGGAGGGGACGAATAGAAAAACAATTTCAATATAGGGATGAAAAAAAAAAAAAAAAAAAAAATGGGAGTGATCGATACGTGGTGAAAAGCAAATTGGTCTACGTTAGTCCCGTTACGGTATAGACAAAAACACTTCTCACTGCATCATTGAGGGAAGCAAACACGGGGATGAATAAAAAACGAGCATCCCCCATACCGAAGAGCTGTATAATTCACGAGGCCTGTGAATATACACGCCGAGAGATCTATTACGTAACGCATCGTTCTCGCTTTTCTCTCCTCCTGTGACTACTTATCATATGTATAATAAACGTGCCCGTATATGTATGCATCAGAGTCTTCGAGTATACCAACGCACCGATTTTCCGTTGTTCCAGAGCCATTGGCCCCGTGTACACGCGATGCTGGAAAATGTACGCCACGGCCGGAGACAACACGGCTCGTCGAGAACTCCTCCTTACCTTGGTTCATCCCGTTTGCCGGATGACGGATCGACCGATCGTGATGATGGACATTCACCTCCACGGAGCCGATTTTTCATTTCGTCTTTGAAAACATTTCGAAGGTTGGCGGTTACGCGATGAGCGAGTGGATTGTATCGATTGTTTTATAAGTACGCAATGAAAATACACATAATAAATGCCACAAGTAGCGATCGAGGTCACGAAACAAAAAAAAAAAAAAAAACACCAAACAACTCGATCGAATATTATTTCGTTGTCGCCGCATCATTCATTCGTTATTTAAAACATACGTATAATACACATGTGATAAAGAGAAATATGGGCAGTGGGAGAAACGAAACGAGCACACACTTGTGCACATGGAGTTGTTGTTATTAAAATTGATTTTTGTTGAATAGTTGTAAGGTTTTTGTAATATTCCTATACCTAGAAGAGTTTATTATTACTATCATTGGGGTGCGAACGCAAAGTATTGACGAGTTAAAAAATTCACGCGTTGGAGATGTTTGTTATAGCAACGGATAAAACACATATATATGGTCGATCGAAGCGTGCGGGGACGAGTGCTGAAATATAAATGCTTTCCAAGATTCTTCGGTTCTTATGAATAAGTATTCATTTAAAATTGAATGTGTATCGATGTTATGGCGATGAATTAGTTATGAGCCTGACTGAAAATAAGCTGTTACCGATAAAACTTTTTTTCCCAAATTAATTGGCATGACCGTCAAAAAAGTTTTTACCACGAAAATTTTATAGTTGTTTGTGAGTGTCGTGAATCGATTATTTATCATTACTCATTCACATTTTATTTTCATTATTATTATTATTATTATTTTTTTTTTTAAATTTACTTACCATGTTTATGCGAGTTAACTCTCGTTTACAATGATAAATACAAGACGATAATTACAAAGTAATAATCAATTTATTTATACGAGCATAAAATCTCACACTTATATTTCAGCTCTCGTCCGCACTAAAGAAAAAAAAGTACACAATATAGCATAGAGTACTTAGCATGAAAAAATAAGTAGCGGCTTATAATTAGACAAAGTAAGAAATTTTTAATCGCATGCGTAATAGCAACTATGTATAGGGATAATGTGCTCGTAACAATGAGTGTTGCACGGTCAGATCTACGTAGCTACGTGGCCGTAATTTTGTAATAGCAAAAAGTATAGTATTCCAAAATATAAGCTGCAAAAACAAACCATTTATAGGGAAAAGTATTGTAGCAAATGGTAATTAATAATTGACATTAGACTTGGATAAATATATATACATGTATCAAAACTAAGGATACATAGTTACAATCTGTCAAATCGTATGATAGTTAATTATCTTCGCTTGCAATTTTCGTAAAGTAGATTTTTTTATCGATTAAAAGTAATGACTAATTAAAAAAGCAAATATTAGAATTTTAATAACGCACGTATACGCAGCAATTGCATCATTGAAATATAATTACTATTCAAAGATAAAAATAAAATAAAAACCATCCACAATTTTGTTTCATTTAAAAAAAAAAAAAAAAAGAAAAAAAAAAGGAAACTTGAGTAAATGACGTAATAGAGGAAGCCAAAAAAAGGTTCGTCCAGCAATCGTTATTTGTACAACAATAAAAGACGAAAGGTGAAAAATAATGTACGTTACCAGTCGTTACCAAGCATATACAATAATTTTTCACATACGTGTACGCATACAAAGTAGTTATATTATTATATCACACCGTGACACCAAGTAATAAAAAGCAAAGTGTACGCGCAAAGCATTATAACGCAAATAAAAATAACTGAGCGATTGTTGCTATCGTACATGGTAATATGAAATCTTGTTTACGAGGAAGAGTCGATAAATATATGTACAACGTTAGTATATAAAAATGCAATGACTGTGCGGTGTAAGGGGAGGGGATCAAGGGTAAAGCGATGGTTACAATTATAATGAGCATGCGAACGCAAATTATAAGCTAAAGTTGATTTTTACTCCGGTAACGCGAATTTTTAGAAAAAATAACTTACACATATCTTGCATGGATTTAATTGATCGTAAAAGAAAAAAAAAATAGATACGCATATTCATAAAGTAATACTACCGTAGTAGTAACAATAAACTTTGTGTCTTTTACAAATCCATAAAAAATATTCCAGTTTTGTCCCCCCCTTTTCATAAAAAAATTTGAAATTTGAGGCACACATTGGAGATTGATTGGGAGATACGGCTCATTTTAATCTGAAAAATAAATTTCGAACACGGGTTTCAGTGAGGATTCAGAATTTTAACATATAAATCGCGAAAAAAGAATGTCACCATCACTGAAACCCGTGTTCAAAATTTTTTCCTCATAGTAGACAACATTACGAGTAAAATGAGCCCAGTTTCAAGGGTGTGCCGCAAGCAAATTTTTTTTATTAAAATAGGGGATAAAAACAGGTTATTTTTTGTGGATTTATATATATAGTGCGNTTATTTCCATAGAGACAAAAAAAAATTATCTGATTTATTAAAGACAAAAAATATAATAGTGAACCTTTACTTTTCGACAGTAACCAAATAAAAATATAATTATGCCAATCATTTGTCAATTTATTAAAATGACAGTTCAAACAGTGTATGCATATTTTATTACATACACTGACTTTACGTGCCACAATACATTTATTCACGACTGAGTTTTCAATTGAACAATCCCGTAAATATTAACTGTACAATCAGTTTATACTTAAAAATATTTTTTGTTACTGATTAACGATAAAAATTAGTACTAAAAAAAATGCAGCTCAAGTTTATTGGCGCGACTTAAGAAATCTTCTGATTTTTCGGGGCCAATCGGTGGTAAGGCGAAGAACTAACAAAAAAAAGAGCACGCACAACTCGTAAGCCACAAGTCATGGACAATTTAAGGATATTATTACATCTGAAAGAATATAAAGTAAACAATAACTAACGTGCTTTCTCTATTTCTCTCAGAAAAAATCGCGAGAGGGAAAGAGAGAGCACTATTTTTTGCATCAAACCTTTTACAATCTTATATTTAAACCATTATCACTTTCTAATTTAAATAAAAAATTATATACAGTCTTTCGCAAGCATTACACTACGGTGAAAAAAAATTCTAAATAATTTAAGAAAAATATGTAAAGTATCTTTGTTATGAAAAAAAAGAGGTAAATGAATTAGTTTTTTCATGAACTGGAATATTATTAATTTACTCAGCAAAAAAAGTAAATTATTAATTCTAGCGTTAAGAGATTGAAAAAAAAGTATCAATACAACATGATGTACTAACAAATAAACTTTTTTTTTTTAATTTTGTCGAATAAGATGAAAGGTTAAGAAAAAAAGTAAAATGAAAATCGAGCGTAAAGTAATTTCCACTATGACGCTCGAGATTAAAAAAAAAAAAAAAAGAATTAAAAAAATAGACACACGTATTATATAGTATATACATGCATTATATAAATATAAACTTATATACATATACTTTTGAAATTCTTATTGTAACGATAAAACTTTTTTTAATATACTTGTATTTCAATCTAAATATCTTTAATCATGTAATGTATAATAAAAGTGGAAAGTGTGAATTTTTTTCACGGAATAGGCGTTGTTTGAAACATCGAATAATCTTTTAATTATATCTACGCTGTACATCTGTGTAATTAGTTTTAACTTTGAAAATAATAGTCTGAAATTTCAAAAACACCCCGTGTAATTAAAACTAAAAATTTTGCATGAAAAACGTTTCAATTCGAAAAAAAAATATTACATTCACGTACATTTTTTGATAAAACAAGGTTGTTAAGATATTTTAAACATATCTGCTATTTTTATTTATAAAATGCAACTTATAAAATAAATTATAGATTACGCCAGGAGACCATTCAACTACTTAAACTTATCTCAATAATATGCGCTCTATGCAGATAATAAATTTTGACGTCTTTCCAATCTCTCTAAATATGCGAAGACATTATAGAAGAATAGAAAAATGAATGGAAAAAGATCCAAGGATAGATCTAGAAATTTTATTCCAATATTAAAAGATTGAAACCAGAAACAATGATAGATTAAACTCTTCATTCCGTAAAATTCGATAAAGTTATGGTACTTCCTAGAAACTTGCATATCCATATGATACAAAACGACTTCCTCTACGAAAAAAAAAAAAAATAATAATAATAATAATAATAATATACAAAAGTACAACAATACGTTCGCAACAGTACACATATCATTGCATACAAATCGCAAAAAATATAATGATTATCAACGAAGAATTTGGATATATCTATGTATTTATTATGAAGAAAAAACATTTAACAGCAGAAAGAGAGCACAAAAATATATAAAAAAAATAAATGTACCGAATTCTAAATACAATGAGAAATATTTAATCGCAGGAAATATCTATAAATTGTTTATAGTATAAAGCATACAATTTAGCACGTTATTTAAGACATACTTTATCAACAGCTTAGTAAACATAGATTTTTAGTTGCAACTTGATCCAATTGACAAAATTTTTCTATTTCCTCGAAGTATTGTATTCATACCAGAACTGCGATCGTTGCAATGTTTGTTTCTTAAAATTATTACTAAGTGTCAAAAAAAAATTAAATTCGACGATAAGATGTTGGCAAATGGAATCACCTGCAATAATATCATAATCCTTTCGTTACTGTGTTGTATTTATAGTATTTGAGTAATTACAAAATGCCAATATAATTTTTTACGTAAACCACGAATGGGAAATAAATTTTTATGTAATTTATTACGAAGAATTTTTTATGTAAATAACATATAAAAGCAATCAGTGTGATTTATCTTATAATATGTACGTTTATCCTAATTTAATGAGAAATCGTTGTTTTGAATTATCTTTATTAAGTATGAGTTTGTTTACGTGCTCTTACTGTAAATAAGAAAATGAAGAAATACGTACACAAGTATAGAGCCTGTGATTGATCGTTGCATCAACAAATTCGTTTTTAACCAAGCGATGTTTTTTTCAATGTTCATACATCGACTTCGTGTGCAAATAACATTAAACTGTTATGCCAAAAATAATTTTCATATTTATGATGCTGAACATTTTTAATAAGACAACACAAAAGCACCGTTGAAACGAAGAAGTACATAAACTTTCATAATTAGATTGAGACGTTTTATACAAATCATTACGAATAATTGTTGAGAAAAAGATAACGTCTCTGTTAGCTTAGTAACGAACTAAAGAAACGATAAAAAAAAAAAAAAAAAAAAAAAAAAAAAATCCATTAACGTGAGGCGCGAGTCCACGGCATGTATACGTGTACTCACAGTTTGAGTTTCATTTCTGTTTGCATAGGGTTCTGAACGAAAAAAAAAAAAAAAAAATGTTATTTGAGTCGTTGCAGTGAGTGTTGAGCGAGTAGCAAAGTGTAAATGATGAAAAATCGAAAGCGATGTCGAGATTCCGTTTGATCATTGAATCAGCTGACAAATATTGTTGAGGGACATATCTGTACTAAAGACAATGTACGAATTATACAGGACTAATGATTCTCAGCATAAAATAATCATTTGTTCTTTATTGATGAACCTCCTGGATCCAAACTCTGTTAGGTAATATAAAATCTTATTTGTTTATTTATTTGATGTATTCACTATAACAAGTACTCATGGTAAGCTTATAATTATTTAGCCATCGTTTTATTTTATTCCCAAGTGAAATTTAATGTGTAAATATTTAATGATAAGTAATAAAAATCGATAGTAAGAAATAATTAAGTTCAGATTTAAGCCTGAGAATAGAATTGTTACGTAACAAAATATTATAACTTTCATTTTTAGTTATTATGAGTTAGTCTTTTTTTATTTTCCTCATAAGTGACGTATCGGAAGGTAAAAAAAAAATTAAAACTAATAATAACCATATTACCATACATATTAATGTTAGAAATTTGTTAAATTTTTATCTACTTCAGTTTGAGCACATATATATAATTTTTTCAATATTTATTTTATATCCGTTTCAATTTTCTTTTTCTCTTTTTTTGGGGGGGATGAGGGTTAAACATTTTAGTTTTTAAGATAACAAGGACTGCACACAGGTTTCTGGAAAACCTTTAGCAGTTTTTATGTAATGCTACCCCATGCATAAAATGTACCCCTTACACCTTGTTTCAATAAATAAATAAATAAATAAATAAACATCATAAATTATGTTTTCTAAATCTTATAGTTTATAACATGTTTTATTTATTATTAAATGGTTGAAAAAATTTTGATCAATTGTCAAAAATTTCTACAAATTATTACTAATTGCTTATAAAAAATGATTTGTTGCCGTGATTTAACAAAGAAATAACACCAAATTTTAAAAAGAATTTTATTAATAGGTAAAGCAAAAAACGTTGTATAAAAATAAAAATTATTTAAATGAAATAACGAGAATGACAATTGATGCAAATTTGTTTACAGTAATAATACTTTACATTGAGGCTTGATAATCTTTCAAGAATGTATCCCAAATTATTACTCATACGATGTAATCGGTAAGCTGTTATCTAATCTGCACGTACCTGACGACACTGTCTAAAATTTTACATTTGATATATACTTTTAACAATCGGGCTTGTATAATGCATACATACAAGTCTATCATTAAATCCACTTCGACGACTAGAACAACAATCTCAAGATAAAGTTATAATTAAAAAGAACGTGCGAATAAAATTCACAGTACGAGAGTTTGCACATACCTTAAACGAGACTAACATCATGAGAGGCAAGTCAAATAAGAATACCTTTTTTTGAATATTTGTTCAAAGTGATTTCTTATTACTATTATTTTTTTTTCAGTGCTTGTTTTTGCAATATTGCTATTATTTGGCGTGTTCAATTCTACTGGATATGTATTGAAACGTAGAATTGTAAAACACGTAATACCTACAGAATGTCCAGCAACTGACATTAAAATAGTGATTCGTATAGCCCACGAGACTGATTGTAATTTCTTTTATCAATGCCATAGTGGGAAAAAATATTTGAAGAAATGCCATCGTAGCTTGCATTTCAACCCGCTATTGCAAATTTGTGATCAACAGTGGCGGTCACGGTGTACCTCAAGATCAAGAACTGAATCCATGGCACTTGCATTTCCAACACCAGAATTGACAACTGAATCTTGGGCGATTACAGTTACATCACCAGAATTGACAACTAAATCTTGGGTGGCTACAGTTACATCACCAGAATCGACAACTAAATCTTGGGTGGCTACAGTTACATCACCAGAATCGACAACTAAATCTTGGGTGGCTACAGTTACGTCACCAGAATTGACAACCAAATCTTGGGTGGCTACAGTTACATCACCAGAATCGACAACTAAATCTTGGGAGACTACAGTTACATCACCAGAATCGACAACTGAGTCTTGGGCGACTACTGCAATTCTAACAATAGCGTCGTCAACTAAAGAAACAACTTATACAACTGAATATTCAACTTCTACATCGACATCGAAACCAGGTTTGTTCATATTCCACGAGTAATTGAGACACTCGTGAAGAAGTTACATAAATTAAAATCCATCTGGTACTTCCAGCGTATTATCGGGAAAAATAAGATACGTAATGTTTATGTTTTTGCCTGGACAGAAAAAAATTTACAAATAGATTAGACTTGCACACGATCTCGATGAGCAAAGTTATTTTACATTTGGAAAGAGTGACGCGACTTCCGATCTCTGATGAACACTCTAACTTCGTAAATAAGTTTTTGCTCACGCGAAGAGAGAAAAAGTACCCGTCCAATCTTTCACGACAGTCCACTTGACGGATCCAGTTTTTTTTTTCTTTACCAATCAACGAATTGTTTGAAAAAAAAAGTACTTCTTTTTTATTTCAGCGACACCATCGTCCTGTGCGGATGTCGACCCGCGTAAAGTGATTTACATCCCTCACGAATGCGAATGCTCGAAATACTACAGATGTGAAGATGGAAATTCTCTGCTCGGCACGTGTCCCGCGGATCTACATTTTAATTACTCCATTCAAGACTGCGATTTCCCCGAAGACGCCGGTTGCACACTCCCATACATCTAAATTCATTACCTTTAAATTACCCTCGTTTAAAATGAATGTTAAACATTTAAAATTTTTTTCCCTACGATTTTACCATTGAATTCATATTCACGAATAAATGAGATGAAACATAATTTTAACTTATTCATTGATTTGTTCTTTAACGGCGTATAAATCTACTGTATAAGTACTCGTGATGCTTAACCATGTAGGGAAAAAATGTACGTTATACCGATTCAGTTATTCAAAAACACATAAAAGTACCACGATATCTTCCATGGACGCTCACTCTTTCGCCGCCATAAAGACACAATATATACACGTGATAAAAGGGTCCCATCCACATCAGAGACGGAGCCAAGTTAAAATCAAAGGGATGATACATTAATACACCGAGCCAACAAAGTGATATTCAGCTGTCGGGAAAAATACACACATTGCGTGTATGTATACATGATTGCGCGTATATAACACGATATACACCTTCAGCTCCGTTGCGGCGGGAGAAGCGAAACTATGCCCCGAAGCTCTCGAAGATACTCACACACCAAGAGAGAGAGAGAGAGAGAGGAGCTCGGGGGAAAAAAAAGGGTAAACATTGGAGGAGCCAATCCTCGCGTGGAAGCACCAGGAGGAAGCTCAGTTACGTGGATACGGGAGTCCATCCCCCCGTGCGCCGAGGGGTTGGACCAGTGTTGCGCGCACCAAGATTCTTTTTCTTCTTCCTCCTCTCCGTCGATGTTTCTCTATACACGTATAAAAGGGCATATTGGTATCATCACATGGACCCCTCCCCCCTCCAACCTACCTCCCTTTGTTTCACGCTCTTCGGACCTACTCTAAATCTCCGGGATGGTGGGTAGTCGCGAGATTGTCGGCTTATCAAGTTGATCGGGAAAATTTCCATCCCATCCGGGGTGACCGATCTCATACCGATTTTTTCGGAATCGTCCACTCGATATTACCGATCACCGGGACGAGTTTTCCCTTCATTCGATTCTTCATGAAACCCACGCGATCGGGTGATTGAATATGCACGAGACGCGTTTCTTCGTTCGTCGTGATGTAGCGTTTTTTCGCTGTAACGTCGACGCGTCCGCGGGATCGTAAAGGATCGGTCGATGGGACGTGAAACCGAAATGTCGCCAAAGTATCCGTTGCCGCGGTGAAACATATCCAAGTTGGTGTTGTTTAAATATGTTGCGTGGAAAGCCGAAAAAATCGGAGGATGCCGAGGAGATCGGCAGCACCGGCGGTGGGCCCGTCAAGCAGCGACGGCCAAAGTGCGCGAGGTGCAGGAATCACGGGCTCATATCGTGGCTGAGGGGCCACAAGCGCGAGTGCCGTTACCGCGAGTGCTTTTGTCCAAAGTGCTCGCTCATCGCCGAACGACAGAGGGTCATGGCTGCCCAGGTGCGGGGGCGCATACGTATACTTTTTTTTTTTTTTTTTTTTTATTTGCACGATTATATTAAACGTAGCTCATTGATCGGGAAATTTTGAAACCGCAAAAACATATATGGTCCCAAAGACGCGTGTACTTTTATTTATTTAACGATTAATCGCGTATTTCGATCATTCGACGTCAGAAAGAAAACTCCCAATTAATCAATCATAAGGACAAAAAGAGGGGTATTAAAAAAAAGAAAAGTTGCTCATCAATCAGCAACGATGACTGTAGTGGTTATTGTTGCCGTGTACAGAGAAAAAGAGAGAGTGAGAGAGTAAAAAAAAAAAAACAAAGAAATGATAAATCTGCGCGATGTGTATATTGTATTGTATTCAAGTGATAGTGGCGATGAAAATCGAGACGCGCAAATAGAGACAACGACGCGCGGGGCACTGTATAAGTATAGTACAGGCAAACGTTTCAATAGAGTCAAAAAAAAAAAAAAAAAAAAAAATCCATTAACGTGAGGCGCGAGTCCACGGCATGTATACGTGTACTCACAGTTTGAGTTTCATTTCTGTTTGCAAAGGCATTACGACACCCGATCTCTTGTCTCCCTCCCCTCCCCTGTGCCCATACATACATATACCATCACACTACAAAATGTATTATCCATGTTACCTCGTAGAAGGGCTTGATTTCGTTGGGCGTCACTTGAAAGTCGATTGGCTGTTAAAAGAGACGATATGTGTGTAGGTACACCCATGCACATAATATACCTACATCATATTTCAATCGACGAGCTTTTGTTTTTATTTCCAACTATTTTACATCGAGAGATAAAAAAATGTCGATGTTGCTCTATCGTATATTTCCTGATGGCCGCAGCCTGTCTATATATGTACATATAATAATACAACTGTACGTATGCGGCTTGTTACTCTCGGGGGAACCCCCTCTCACCGAGTCGTGGTTGTAGGTAGCATTGAAGCGACAGCAGGCGGCCGAGGATGCGATCGCCCTGAGCATGGCGAAAGTGACGACGGGCCAGAAGCTGAGCCGCCTGCCCCCGGGCAAGATATTCGGGATGACGGTCACCGAGCCGGACACCACGAGCCCCAGGGCCAAGTTTGAGCCGACCCAAGGTGGCGGAGGTGCTGCGGGGGGTAGTGCAAGTACTGTACTCCGTGGCGATGATCGCAACCCCCAAGGAGCACCGGATGCCGCTCGGAAGGACGAGCTACGCAGTGACGAGGAGGAGGAGGAGGAGGACAAGGGCGCGATCGAATGCCCCAAGGTTGGTGGGTTTTCATCGGGATCGTGGGGCCATTTTTTCGACATCTTTTTAATTAAAAAGTTATAAGTATACGCGTTAAAAATAATTCTCTGGGTCAAGCGACTCGAACATGGACAATCTTCAATCACAGCAAAAATAATAATAATAATAATAATAATAATAATAATAATAATAATAACAATTTAATGGTACATATGAGACTTGTAGTTTTATTAACATAGGATGCCGATGCGTTTCGTCAGATTGGTATCTCTAAAAGTAATGAAAGATGAACAAAAAAAGCAACTCGAAAAAAAAAAAAAAAAGAAAAAGAAAAAAAAGTAGTTAATTACGAGTATGGAGGAACAGTCCAGAGTTTACATGGTTTTGGTGAGACGTGCATTTGTTACTCTGTTTATTTCTTTTGAAACAGTCTCCCAGAAGCAATGAGTGGGAATCAACCTGACAAATATGTGTGATGATGTGGGTGGTTTTTTCCTTAGCAATGCAAGAGCGAAGACTCACAGAGCAGCCCGGCGGTGTCCCAAGCATCCGTGGACACGCTGGCCCGGCTGTTCCCGGCGACGAAGCTGTCGGTCCTCCAGCTCGTGCTCCAGCGCTGCAACCAAGACCTGCTCAAGGCCATCGAGTACTTTGCCAGCACCGGTGGTGGCGGCTCCGAGCGTGTGTCTGCCTTTCGACCCCCCCGACGAGTGGCTGATGCCGCGGGTGACAAGACCAGTGGGACCGATTCGGTTGCTCGGCCGTTTTACACGGCTGGCTTGCATGACCCTCCCCTCGTGAGTACACGCGCCTTTCACAACTGCTCGAACATGAGCGACATTTCTTCGGGGGTCATTTGGTTATTGGACAGCTACTATATAACAGCTGTGCTCTGAACGGACCGAGTAGTGTTTTTTGGCTCCGAATGGATCATCGACGAAATCGTGGCATTTTTTCTTTTTACGCAAAAACCTTTGTCCACTCTTGATCTTTGCGGTCTCCGTCTAAACAAATGTTACAATTAATTACGATTTTTGCACCATTGCTTTTTTCGTAGCACTACACACTATTTTTTGCTTATTTTTTTCGAATTCAAACAATGATGTCCCGAAATTCAGCCGAGCTTTCCATGCCTGTACATTTGTCCTGGTTTCGTTCTGAATCGCGTGATTTTTTGGAAAATTTTGCTGGGAAAAAAAAAAAAAAAAAAAAAAAAAGTAAAAAAGATCGGTATCGCAAAGTACATGGACTGAATTTCCAGGGCTGCTGTTTCGTGAACGTGATGTCGGACGCCACGCTGCCCCGAAGCCTCGAGGTTTGCGCAGCGGCTGGTTTTACCCTTCAAAACGGGAAACAACAACAGCAGCAGCAGCAGCAGCAACAGAGTCCCTACGAGCGAGGCTTTTTCGACGGTGCCCAACTGCAACAGCCACCCTCGGCCCAGTTGCAGCAGCCCCAGAGGCCGATTTTTCACCTGCCCCCTTTCGTCCCGCGCGTACCCTGCGTCCAGCCAAACTGCTTGCTCTGCTACAAGTTCACCTGAATTTCTTTTCCTATCTTTTTTTTTTTGTTTTTGTTTTTATCTGTCATAAATAGTATGGAGGAAAAATACAATGTAATGATGATTTATCCGCTTATTACGTTGATACGTACAAGAAAATTTCGTCGCCTGGGAAGGAGAAAAATATGTTCCGCATTGTTGAAGGGGCTCACTAGACTTTTTAACGATTTTCGGTGCGTCCGCGGAAAAACCATATATGTCTCGGTAAGAAAAATCGGCAAGTTTCAATAACGATCTTTCTTTTTTTTTCTTTTAATACCTTTATCTAATAGTCAATAAAAATATTGTGCCAATTTCGGAGTCCATTTTTCATAAAGCGGTGCTGTATTCTCCTTTTTTTTGTCAGTCAATGATGAAAAAATCCATACCGATATCCGATAAGCATTTAACACTGTATTTAACGATACACTAGCAGTGTATATAGTACAGATTCTAAGCACGAAATCGGCAAAAACTTCAACAAATCTTCTTACTTACTCATACTGGTGAAAAGAACAAAGTATGTAGGTGTAGGGTAGCAAGAGAGGGAGTCCCGTACGGGGGTGCAATCGAGTTAAGAAGATTCGATCGGGCGTGTATAAATACGAGTGGACTGCCGCGGGCGTTTATTCTCGCGCCCAAGAGGAACGGAAGCAAAGAAAAATCAAGTCGGCGAAAAAGAGGAAAGAGATATATGTGTACTTAACTGGACTTTTGCGTGTGTACCTTCTCGAGTAGGAATATATATATATAAAGTGACGACGCGCGTGACTCGCATTTTACGTAAACCCGTAAAAACATTTTTACCCCTTCCTGCTCGGGCTTTCTTTCGTTTTTTTTTTTTGACTCAACTTTTTCTCTCTGACTAGCTGCAAGCTAAACATACGTGCAATTCGATGAAGATGAGGTCCGGTACCGTGGGTCTGTTTTTTTTTTTATGATTATGGACATTCGGGTTTTTTTAATTTATTACGCCATCAAAGTGATCTGCGAAAGTTGACGAATAAGATTACAGCTTGATTTGTGATTAATTTTTTTTCATCATCAACAGTATGTGCTGTAAAATTAGAATGCGTAACTATAATGTAGCCACCACTTTTTAGTTTTTAAAATAAAATTCGAGGCATTGTTGGTATAATTCCATCATACCATTGTTGGTATTAAATTAGAAGAATCCATTTTTTTGTTAATTTATAAAAATTACTTAATGAAATGAAAAAAATCAATTGTTTTCGATTCAACTGTTCACTTTTCCATCGAATCATAAGACGAAATTTTCATTTTCACATCAGCCGCCACATATATACATGTTAATTTTGCTACTATTCTACTTAACGTAATTAAATCCTAAATTCTTACTTCTAACAACTGTCCTCAATTTTCTTAAATAACTATCGTTTATTTGATTCAAAATTGTACTGAATACTTATTTTAAGCTCTAAATACATTGTAACGTAACAAATAGTGAACAAGTTTTATCAAAAGCAACTACTTTTATCATTTTATCAAGTAACTTAACGAGAATTTATTTATACACGTAAGTATATGTATGTACATAATGAATTGTTGAAAATACAATTGCTCAAAACCGTAAGTGTGCTTTATTTTTTATCATGTGTTTGTCCAGTACCTCCCAAAATCTCATAATTGCCGCTCTATCCAAGTGCCTTTTCGTTTTGCTGAGCTCAATGACTGTGACTGCCCAGCGGGCGACGTTAGCATCGGTACGCATCTCGTCGTACTTTATGTGGAATGCACAAACTGTAATAGAAAATAAGAGCCAATTTAATACAACATTCATGTGCTGGAGTACACACGCATAAATAACACTCACTTTTTGAAAAAATCTCCACAGGATTACCATCAAAGGGCCATCCTTTGAATTGCCAAGCTGGTCCCATGACGAATACTGCGACTACACGCTCCCAGTCGGCGTTTGTCAATTTTTGTGGATTATCGACAACGCGGTAGGGTACCGTGAAACCACCTTCCTTACGTCTCTGCAGCAATATCTCGTTCTCCCGTTTAGCGGCTAAGTTTCTTTTCTCGTCATTTGATATGAATTTCAGATCTTGCAAAATGTCTTTAGCATTGTACATGGTAATTAATGAAGTGTTTGCGCTAGGTATGATGATGATGGGTGTTCGGCTGGGTCGCTTATTCTGTGCGGCCTGTTGCGGCGTGAGTTTGGCTGCCGATGTCGGTATCAGACCCGACGTTGGCGCGACGCTTGGATTCACAGCTGCGATTCAAATAAAAAGTTATTACAAGCGATTGTATTTATTTGGTTGTAAAAACATAGGCAAAGATTAGTGGACACTTACGAGTGCTAGCTATGGGTTTGCGAACTGCTGGGTTTGTGCCCTCCGTCACGGATTTCAATGTCATGCCGTGATAGGTACCCATAGTGTCGATTTTGAAACCTTCAGTTTCTTCCTTTTGACGGATGAACCTCTCCTGATCGTAACGATTGTACACAGCAGGCTGGGGCAACGGTCTCAGTGGTGTGGATCTCGGTGTGACCATGGGAGTTGGTACTATGGGACCCTTTTGTCTTCCCTCCTCGCGCGCCTTTATACTAGTGAGTATGGCAAAGATGTTTTTTGCAAACACCTTGCCACTGCTCTGCAATATCGTTGTCCGCGTCCGCCACTGTCTTTCCCTGGACACAATGTTTTTTGTATCTTCGACTTCCATGTCCAGAATGTCTCGCAAATCCGAGCCCATGCCAATATCATCTTTTTCATTGATGGTGGTACGCTTTTTGGCGAGGCGTTTGGCTTTGATTGCGGCGATTTTCTCAACCGACATAGCCTCCGACAGAGATTTGATGTTCTCAACGGTAACCGAGGCTTCTTTGGGTGCATCTAGCCTTGCAGCCAGCTGTTCTTTAACTTTTTGAACGTGAGTCTCCTCATAACGTGGCTTCTTCGATCCAGATTCCAGGCCATCTTCGGCAGGTCGTTTCACCTGTGTGGGAATTTCAAGCGGTGCTGACTTGTCGATGGCAACCGATGTGGCTGTTTCACCATTAAGGTAGGCCAGCAGATCCTTTCTGTCAGGACGTCGTACAACGGGAATGTTTTCGGCAGCTGCCTGTCGTACGTAGACTGGATGGGTGAGCTGTACATTTTTAAGGAGAAAGAGCAGACACTCTAGTGTATAGTACTCTTTGGGTGATCCCTCTTTTCCAGATCTAAAAACCATCACAGTACAGAGTAAAAATTTGTAGATCTATCGGGTAAGGAATTAAATTACCAACGTAAAATTATAATAAATTAAAATGTAAAAATTGAACGGATGTGACGCAATAAGATCCAAATACTCCAAAAAGTATAAAACATATTATAGCAACAACAAAAGACATACAGTGAAAACGGATTAATGAAACATTTAATTTCTTTGTGAAATAATATTGCGATCTACGAAAAAAAAAAAATGTTCAATATACTTGGAGCAACAAATAACTGATGAAAAGAGGCAAAAGTGCGAAACAGCTTGCTCAAATTAATGAGAAAACAGACGACAGAAGGACCTTTGCACACTCTTGTATATATTGTTTACTCACCCATAGGTTAGGTAGTTAGTCTTGACACTTTTTGGCCAGGAAAACTCGCCGAAGATAATCTGCTTGTCACGCTCGATGATCTCCCGTTTGTTGACATTGTACTGACGAAGCAGGCTTAACGGATCTGCCATTATTAGTCACTTAACAAATTATGCCTGGCTTTTGAAGTTACTCCGTAAGGAGTACCAGAGTTTGACTGCGTTTATGAACTGAACTATACATGTGCAAACGTCGCGACGCAACGTCGCAACACTCGCAACCACTCACTCCGTATATAGGTATATACTTTACAACGCACAGCTTTGGAAGCTACGCAAATATATATTGCAAATTAAGTAAGTATAGGTAAGTATACTTACTCAGTCATCACTGTAAGGAACTAAAGCAAAAACTTAACAACTCCATGAATCACAGTGTACGTAATTGGACCTGGTCGCTGTCTAAAGTGCCATTATGCTATATACCAAAAAAAAAACTACTTTATTAGAATTAATTTTAGATGCCGATGCTTTGTATTAGCAATAAACATGGCAATCGTTGGATATTCAGGCGCTTCAGTTACATTATAGGTATTTGTACTGTAAATGCATGGCTTTCAAAGTTAGCGGTTCCAAGAAGGTGTACTCTCATTGGTTGTTTCTCTGTCCATTTGTCGAATTTCGGCTCTCCATGAGCACTTTAAAAAGTTTAAAAATAATAAAAAATGTAAAAGTTTGTAATAAAGAAAGAGTTTACTTTTACTTACTTACTCCATTAGAGTAACTACAATCAAGGAAATTTTTTAATTTTTTTTAGTCCAAAGGGTTAGTTCATTATGATGAATAAAGAAATAGTTTTCTGAACCTTGAAATTCATCAATGTGTTTTGTTTTACGCTCATCTTTGGTGGAAAACATACTTATAGAGATAGGGTATGTCTAATAACTCAGTAATATCTCTATGTCTCTATGGGAAAGCATCTTCTGAAGTAATTTGAAAAATAATATGCAACAAAATGTTGAAAGGTGATTGTTCATGAGGCATAAACGCATAATTCAATATTTATCCGCCCCCCTTGTTTTGTATTGTATATTTTATGTAACATAACTGATAAATTGATAAATACATAAGACATTCAGTTTAATTAATTATATACATTACTTACCATGACATTACCTGCCAGAGACTGGCGCGGAATTGTGTGGATTTGTGGAACTGTCGTGTTGTGGGACACTTGGGTTCGTGTGTGTGGTGCCGTATGAGAGTTGTTTCAGTTCATTTTCATTCAGTTGTGTGGTAGTGATGTGTGGGTGGAAAGACTGGAAAGAAAAATGGGCATCTAAAAAAGAAGGTGGTGGTGCACTGGTGCCGTGTGAGTCGTGACTGCCGTGTACTTAGTGGGTGCCTGGTGGAAGAGAGACGACAGCAAAATATTTTTGTTTACGCCCGCGGACAGCAGCCGATTGTACTTATATTTCACTCTCTCTCTTCGCCCATTTTTGCCTTATAATTTTATTATACATAGCGACGGTTGTAGATCGTTATTTTCACTTACAGTGTCAAAGACGGACAAAAAAGGTTTTCTGGAATTGCTGTTGAGGAAAAATTGGGGCGGCTTTTGGTTTTGTAAATACCTATTTGCTGCACACTGTGTACAACGGCCAGTGACAGGAGTCCGATGGTAATTACTATACTTTGTTGTTCTTTCTATTTTCCTTTTCCCCTGTATTTGGTCGGTTTATTAATTTTGCTTGCGTGTTAGCTATTACTCTCTTTGGTTATATATTCGTTGTCATATATATCAGCTGTTTATACCGCATACACCATGGTTCTGTATGGGCACAGGTGCTCCTTTTGTTGTAGTAAACATTAAAAATATTGTTTTCATTTTTTTACTTAACCTGTAATATGATTGAATATGTTTTTTTGCATTTAGATTTTCCAAAAACAATGAGTTTTAATGACAAACAGGATCACCCTATCTCAAAAGAAGAATGGATGATAAGACTGGAAGAGGGCCACCAAGTCCAGCGAACCCAAATGAATAACCTTATAATGAATTATCTTGTTACTGGTATGTTTATCATCGAATTGTTCTATCCCTGCTTTTAGGATTTTTTTTTTTTTTGTATTATTTTTTTATTACAAGTTCATAATATGAGTGCTAATACGTATTTAAAATTGTAGAAGGTTTTAAAGAAGCTGCTGAAAAGTTTCAACAAGAATCTGGTGTAAAGCCAGCTGTAGAACTAGATTCCATGGATGATAGAATTCGCATCAGAGATGCCATCCAAAATGGTCGTATAGAAGAAGCCAAAACTCTGGTAAACCAGTTGCATCCAGAGCTACTGGATAATGACAGATATTTGCACTTTCACCTGCAACAGTTGCATTTAATTGAACTCATACGTTCAGGGCGCATCGAAGAGGCTTTGCAGTTTGCCCAAGAACAGTTGAGTGAAGCAGGAGAGTCAGACGAAAATATTTTGGGTGAACTAGAGCGTACCTTGGCATTGCTGGCTTTTGATGAACCGCAAAAAAGTCCATTTAGCGATTTGCTCCATCCTACGCACAGACAAAAAGTATGTATTAAAAAAAAAATTAGTTTCTCATTTATTTGTGTCAGTATTTTTGTTAATTTATCATTTTTAATACAAGATTGCAAGTGAATTAAATGCTGCAATATTGAAAATGGAGTATCAAGAATCGACCAGTCCACGAGTGAATAATTTATTGAAGATGATATTATGGGCACAAGATGAACTGGATAAGAAAAAAGTTAAATATCCAAAGATGACTGACTTAGGTAATGCTACGATTGAAGGCCCAAAATAAGTTAAACTAATGCGAAGATCCAATACTAGAATAGACTTTATTAAATGAGAGAACTGTAAACTAAATTTTATCAACCATCCTTTAATCTTAAGCATATATAAATTAAATCATTAACAAACTATAAGTTAAAAACAATATATACAAAGATACAATTATGTGAACATTTTTAGTAGAAATAAAATTTAATGCTTCTGTTCTTCAGCATTAAAATCTTTACACATTTTCGTTATGACTTTCTAATTTCATGGAAACATCAAATCAAATCGAAAAATACAGCAGTACCTTGATAGTGACCACTGATATGAACAATAGATTGCTATAATTGCTGTAATTAACGAAATGTAATAAATTTCCATAATAGTTTACTCAATAAAATACTAGGCATTGGCATTGGTACAAAGAATTTAGAAAACCCTTAATACATGTGCTGGACTTCTTATAAAACGACTACTTTGCATTAGTCGTACAGTTATTACTGGACATAGGAGCGAATTTACCGACCGTTAAGTATTTACTTATTACAGTTTAAGAAACAACTTCTTAAACAAAAAATGACAAGTTTTAGGATTGATTTACAGAAACATTATGAAAATGATTCATGAGTAAAGAATAAATCGTTTTGAGGCCTTTTTTATGTTACCAAAGATAAGATGGAGATTCAACGTTTACTCCAGAACTTCTCGATTATAACTTTATAACTCGACTCATGTCAACAAACTTAATCAGTGATTTGTTTATAAAACAATAGATAGATACGTAATACCCACTTTCAATTCAATAGGTCAATACATGGACCAATCGACTAAAATAATACAACTGTTGTTAAAAGTTGTTTCATTTTAAACTGACATATTTATTCAAAAAAATTTCCTAAGGAAGGTATTACACATATATAAGAATTAATAACTTTGCTTTACATATAGTTTTTTACAACGTTTGCGTGCTGTGGATAGATTCTGAATTACCACTCTTGTCGTTCAACTTTTTCAAGAAAAACAATAATTAGTAAAAATAACACATAAGTTAAAAGCGACTGGTTGATTTCAGCGTCCGAACAATATTTACAAATTGAAAAACTATAAAGTGTTTAGCACATAAAAAAAATTCCTATACAAAAACATAGACTTCCACATTATTGACACGATCAGCTTCCAAAATCATGACAGTCCTTGCCAGCAAAGCAATCGTCAATTAACTAACAAATCAATAAATCCTATCACAGTCCAAAAATGTATTCCATAGTTTTTGTTATTAGACCGGATGATTTATGTGGAACATTGTCTGGCGTTCTAACAGCTTGAGGACTCAAGTGCTGATTGTAACCTGAAACGAGTGGCCTGGCGTTGGGTATCCGTCCTGATGCCCTGGAGCTGTTTAGTCCACCGACACCCGCAGGTTTTATTGGAGTCGAGAACAATCTCATGCTGTCATTGAGCATTGAACGATTTTCTTTGTCTCCGCCAATAATGACGCCTTCGTCGGTGCAGGGTACGACTCCGATCATAATTGAACCCGCAACGATATTACCATTACACGTGAGTGCTCGCTGAGCTTCTTGCTCCGATGAACACTTCAAGTGGATCCAGTTGCTCTGTGAGTGTGGAGCTGAATGTTTGTCGACAATTCGTACTCTACTTGAAATATGCGATAATACAGTGTTTAGAGATGTGATAGGAAAGCCAAAAACTGTGACCCACTGCAGTAGCCCTTGCATGGACTCGTTTTGAGTTTGATTTATCGGTGTTTCACAATAGGGAGCATTTGTGGTGTTATTTGCTGAAAAATAAAACTTTGTTTTAATTTATGACAATACAAAACAAATTACTCCATCAAGTTGTTTGGGATACAATTTTTACGATATAATTAACCCTCCAAGTGGTAAAAATATAGTTACCACATTGAAAAGTAGTGATAGCTTACCGAATCCGCCACTCAGGAATCTTGATTGGTTCATACTCTGATTGCCAAATGATAGGTTTGGAGTACCCGCTTGTTTAGTATCAAAACTGTCGTACAGGGATTTCGTAGGCGGTCCACCGGCATGGTTTTCTGTGTTGATTTGTGAAATATTCAGATTGTTGCCACCTCCAAACATTGCCTTTTGACGGTTTATTCTGAATTCTGGAGTAGTGTAACTAGTTACTGGAGAATTTTGCACATTGTGGCCAGAGTTTCCATAACGTGTGGATTCTGGTGTCATGACTCTTGTTCTAGATTGCTATGTTTAAAAATCAGTTATTATTATGACAACTTAGTAATTAAAAGTATGATAAAAAGAAGGAGGAAAGTTAATTATATAGCATCCAAAGGTAAAAACACATAAAACTTACTGCATTGGTGTCACCAAGCAGAAATCCAGGTAAGTAACCTGAATTCGTTCCAGGACTGTTTTGAGGCTGAGCTGGGCTACCTACAGGAGACCCCAAGGTCATGGGTTCCATCTACGTAAGTGAAATTTATAACGGATGAGTCGATGCAAAGTTAAAGTATCAAACAATTAGGTACTTGGAATAGAAGCAAAATTTAAAGGTACACACAAATAATATATCTTATTGCAACAGGTGATTAGGTTATGCTCTCTCAACGTTGAGACTAATTGAGTATAAATCATGTTATTTTTAAGTATGTAATACTTTTGACATTGAAGTGATGTACGATAAGTACTTACCTTTTTGTTGAGGAGGAAAGTTCGGAAAATGTATGACCAGAAGTTGTGTTGCAGCAGAAAGTAAAGTCCCTTACGTTTTACGTTACAATGAAGCTGTTTAAATTTGTTAAAGTTAATGGTCCGTTTTTATATCCCTGTATGTAGAGTTAATCTGATTGGTTCTGCCATTGTTGGGACTAACACGGGGAAAATAAGACGCCATTCACGCCATATAAGTAGAATATCAATACTTTTGTAGGTCGATTTTTGGAAAAAAGAAAACTAGCCGCAAACAGTACAAACAATATCAACTTTCTATTTACTATCCATAAAATTAATTGCGGCTGGTTTATAATTGATTACATGGCTCTACTAAAAACAGATAGTAACAATTGTTTGGATTAGCGCCATCTAGCGGTCAAGATTTTTTTGGCCAAAAATTGCTTCTGAAATTCTGAAGGAGAGCTTTAGCGCAAAGAGCCATTTAATCAATTATAAACCAGCCGCAACTCATATTATAGCTATAAAATGAAAAAATAACGATACATGTGTTTTTGGCGGCAAGTTAACAATCTATTTTTTACTCGAAAATTTATCTTCAAAAGTATAAATACATAAATGGTCAATTTTTTGGTAGAAAATAGATTTTTAACATGCCGCCAAAAACACGTGTACTGTTATTTTTTGATTTTATAGCTACAAGATGAGTTGCGGCTGGTTTATAATTGGCTAAATGGCTCTAANAACATATTTATCGTTATTTTTTTATTTTGTAGCTACAAAATAAGTTGCGGCTGGTTTATAATTAATTAAATGGCTCTTTGCGCTAAAGCTCTCCTTCAGAATTTTAGGAGCCACTTTTTGCGAAAAAATGAATACCGCTAGATGGCGCTGATCCAAATAATTATTACTACACTTATAGTAAAGCCATATAGTCATATAATCAATTATAAACCAGCCGCAACTAATTATATGAATAGACAAAAAAAATTTAATATTTTTTGTGCTATTTGCGGCAAGCTTACAATTTATCTTTTATTAAAAAATTGATCTCCAAAAGTATGGATATTCTACTTATATGGTTTAATAAAATCGACCATATGGCACTACTTAGTACTCTTAGTAGTGATTACTATAATTACTACACAACTTCACGTATATATTTTACACCTTACACCGTGCTTGGTGCTTTCCTTACACCAGGATAAAATCAGAGGCTGTAAGTAATAATGTAATTATGTTAATGTACATCTCGCGTTGAAAATTTCGAACTAAAGAGGGATACTTTTTAGTTTAAAACCAGCAACGCCAGATGGCGCTGATTGGAAACAATAAAAATCATCAAATTCAAAAATATTATACCTATGCTACATTATTTTTTTATGAAGCACGTACGATGTGTATTTCACATTGCGGGATTGACAATAAATAATAGATCATAATTTTAAAAATTGACAACGTTTATTTCGTGAAATATCTGTTCGCATTATCCAAACAATTACAACAGATAAAGACCTAAAAATCCAAAGAAATCACTGTTTCTTTCGATATATTCTTCTATATGTACAACATACACACACAAAATAAATAATAAAGTATCTAATAATTTTTTAATTGAATTTTTCGCCCATAATTTACTTTCATTTCTCCGTAGTCTAAAATTATGATTTTTACCCTATATAAGATACTTGAAATTGGAAATTAGCGTTTGCAGCGAAAACATCTCGAATTTTCCATAAATTTAGATCACGAAATTCTTTCACCCTTTTAAAAGTTTTTATTTTTTATTTTTGATAATCAAAAATAGTTTTAAATGTTCAGCTTCACAGAGTGGTTGTGTGCAGCTATTGCATACAACAAATTTTCGGTAATTCTTTACGAATTTTCAAGTGGTGAGAGAGAAAAAAAGATTTAAGGCAATAAATAAAAAAATGTTATGTAATTTCTGGATTTTCTTGGTAAAAATCTAATAAGTTTACGAAGAAAACTTAAAATAAAAATCTACGTGACAAACAGTCTAATGTAGATACATATGTTATGTACGTAAAAGTGTAGTATCGAGAAAAAGCTCGTCTCCTTTTTCTTCCTTTTCTCTCTCTCTCTTTTTTTTTTTTTTTTTTTTTTACCAGACATAAATAAGCATATTATCCCCCGCTATTTCCGCGTACGGAATACTGTAATACGAAAAACGCAATGCGGCATACTTTTTATGCGCCCATAACAGCTCGCGCATACATATAAGGGGTAAGTAAAAGAAAGAGAAGAGAAGGAATGTGGGATGGAAAAGAAGAATGAAGCGGCAGAGGCGTCTCATCTTATATTTAATTTATCACATGTATTTATGTACATAAAATAATGAACTGTACAAAAAATGAACGTGGTTTTTTTTTTTATTACTTTTTAAAATTGTTTTTAACTTTTTTGTTGCTATGTATGATACATTGAGGTATATTTACTCCGTTGGACGAGCAGCTTTCTCAAGGACGTACAATACACCGTAAGCGTTTATTATTTCTTTTTTTTATTTTGCTGTAATATAATGATGACTTGTCATTATTTACATATGATTTACAGGATGATTTTAAAATTCTTTTATTTTTATATCGTATATATTACAGAATTGATACATGAAAGAAAAAACAGTCGTTGGTGAATGCCAGCATATTGATGAAAGCCATCGTTGATAAATAGTTAATTTTTGTTTTGTAATCTTTTTTTCTGCATCAAGTATTAGCCATTTTTCATTTGGTTTTGTCTTGTAAGTCTTTTTACAAACATTGTTAACTAAAAAATCAAACTCAGATGTAACTTTTGGGTGATATTAATTGTTATATCATCCGATACATTTATGATGAGTTCATGTACTTTAATAACAATATTTTATCACAGAAAAAAAAGAAGAATGTAACTGTAACTAACAACATGTATAAGGCTTAATTACATAAAATAAATAATAAAAGATTAAAATACGGTATACAATTCATCCAATAATAAAAAAAAAAAAAAAAANTGTTAACCCTTGAATCAAAATACTCTTCTTGCACGACTCAAAGTCTCAACATTCATTTGATATTTCACTTTCACTTGATCTTCGAAAATAATTAAACTACCCTTAGATACAAGTTCAAGAATCCGATGGCTTAATTAACGCGTTCAGCATCAGATTTAACAACTGGCTTTTCTCAGCGCAGCACACCGACTCATGATGGTACATCCTCTCAAAGTTCGAGCAGTTGAAATATTCCTTATCCCAATTTACGTGCCTACGTGTGTAAATGTACTTCAGTCTCACATTTACCCTGGAAAACTTTGCAAAGGATTGTGTGGCGTATAGCAAGGATCAAGTAGCAAAAACACACACACACACACACACACACACACGTGTATGTAGCAAGTGTATACGGCAGCTTTACTTTGCCGAAAGTTGTGACATAATTAGATTTTCTCTCTCACGCGCATTGGCACGCAAAGTATCGGATTTCCAAGTAAGAGCCTCCCTAGTTTGTGCTTTTCTGCTGCTGCTCTTTATTTTGCTCTGTGCATCGGGAAAGGGTACCTCTGATGTCTCTGACACGGAGGTGGGAGGGAAAACCTCGTGAATTGTTGATGATTTTGCGGCGAATAGCTTTTACTCCACCACTTCCCCCCTCAAACCTCTCGGTCTCTCTTTACTTTGTATTTATATCCGCTCAAGTTTTGCCTCAGTTTTGATTTCATTGAAAAAATGGAACGTATAGTAAGTTACACGTTGGAAAAAAAAAAAAAAAAAAAAAAAAAAAAAAAAAAAAAAAAAACACAGCGTACATTATACCCCTTCTCTTCGACACGCATGCATAAATACAAGCACGTGTACGAATTTGTACAATTAACCAACGTCCGTTAAAATTATACATATATATATTTACACAAACCGCACAAACAGGCGCTCACGCTACTCCCCTACATTCGCGCAAATTGACGGGCCAAACAAAGCACCGTATACGTATGTATATACCGCTGGCACATTGAGCGAGCAGCAGAAACTTCCCCCGGGGCTCTCTCGCTTTTCCACCGTCTTCCTTCCTTTCGCGTCTATATATACACGGGCTCCGACTCTCCCCACCTCGGCTTTCTCCGCGCGAAATCAGAGTTGATAATTGGAGAATTACAAACTTACACACGAGCCGTAACAATTATCGTCGTCGTCGAGGATTTGAATTTTCGGGCCGGTGGGGGGGGGGACTTTGCTAATCTTCACGTCTAATTAATTCTTGAGTAATTTAGCTCCACGAGTCTCCCCTTTTTTGGGACAATTATCCTCATTGGAGCTTTTATTGTTACGGGTGTGGCGACGCCTGATGAAATTACGATTGAATTTCGGTCGCAAGTTGATTGGGTACATTTTTTTTTTTTTTTTTTTTTTTTTTTTTTTTTTTTTTTTTTTTTCCACGATAGTGACAAGTACGTACAGGAGAAGAAACCATTTTTCGATTCACCCTTACGGAGACGGTGAGTATTTTATAGGGGGCATTTTTTTACAGAGTTCATATGAGTTTGCTTTACGGAGGGGTGTAAAAATACCACTTATTTCGAATCATCATTTGCACGTCTTGGATCGAGTACTTAAATTTGCTTAATTTCCCTAAATCGTCTCGCATATTTATTACATTAAATATCGTGTATTTGAGTGTATATATTTACGTGGAATCACAATCAATCTTTTTTTGTCTTTATCAAAGAACTTTTTTTTTGCTGCACAAAGAAGTATATTCATCTGTCAATTGATAATTAATCATCGTTGAGTTAACGAAACAAAAAACCTGTACATATACACGTACCTTATTTTATCACCAACATATTTTTTATTTTTATGTATATGATGTTAAAATATATGTATCATTAACAAACAGTATGAACCGACGAACATCAATTTCATGGCATGCTATTAAAGAAATTATACAGTGTCTTTGATGATTTGAAAAACCAAAATCGATATTGTCGCGTCGTGGCCAAGCGATCAAATACGACGTTGTAAATGGTGATAATTCGTAAATCGAGCCCATCATTTCAAATTTATGTTACTCCTCCTCTAGAAGAGGCTTGTCATCACACGGAGGCAATGATGGTAATTTTAAATAAAAAACATAAAACAGTTTTTACAAAAAAAAGTATGCAATGACATAAAAGTTGATGGTAGTGATTTAAAATTCTAGTGATGGCTATTTTCATCAAATGAGCAAAAGGAAAAAATGAAAAATTACAAATAATTCAGAACACATATAGATTCCGTCTCAAATTTTCACTTTGAATGATTTTACTTATTTCAGAAACAGTAAAATAAGTATGATACTGGTACAATATTATTATCATCATCACCCTCTGTCACTTAGTCTTTGGTAAATTCATATCATTTTATTTACATTTCATGCTTTTATTTACATTTTGCAGCTAGTTATGGTAATCTGTTCATATTTATCACTTATGACATGTATGAAATAGTTTCTAAAGCAAAAGTGATTAAAGGACGAAAAGTTAAACTTAATTGTTTGATTGATGAAACAACAAGGACTCAAAATCTATCGACTAACAAGTAATAAGTTAATATTGTTTTAAAAACGAAAAATAATTTTTAAATACATAACAAGAAGATTTACTTATTTTACCATTTACTTAAGTAAAATAACGATAAATATAATTTAAATTAAAGAATAAAAGTATTTTCTCGCTCAAAAAATACCACCGTTGTCCCTTATGTGAATCTCTATTTTATTTAAAGAAAAAAAAAGGAAACTATATTTTTTTTCAACCGTTACGACCGTAAATCCAATTCGCCGATATAATGGCAGGCATTTTCTCAGTGTAAGTATGCAAACGCGTAAATACAGTTATGCATAGGGGAGGTGTTGAAAGAGCAAAAATTAAATAAACAGTCCTACTCACGTCTACTCGCAAATTAATTCATCATCCGCTGGTAGGCCGCTAATTGCAAACCAGAACCTGACCACATAAAAAAAAAAAAAAAAAAAAAAGCCGAGTATATAGGTGTATACAGAGTAGCCCCAAGAACCATAAAACACAGCTGCTCTCCGACGCAATTAAATCGCCAGAACTCTATTCCTCGCGCACTATGCGTTCACTACACCGTTAACAGTTTTATTGTTTTCCACGTGGTATGGAAAAGAAGAGATGCAAACGTACGAGGGAAGATTTGCGTCGTGTACACGTGCAATGTGCGTTGGAGCGGAAAATATCTCAAAGTGCGTTCACGCAGTAAGTTTTATAAGGTTTTAACGTGCTTTTTAATGAGTTTCCTTTCGATAGTAAGACAAAAAACAAGCTACAAATCGCAGTTACCAGGACCTGAATGAAATCAAAGGCTCGTAGATTTATTAGATGTTTCTACTTTGACTGTCCAAATAAAAACTGACGATCGATCAAATTCACGGGACATTCTCCCAATAGTATATTGGACGAGACAAAATTAAAATTAAAGAAAAATAAATCCTTGTCTCGAATCACGAGACTTTTCTGGCAAAACTCAAAATGTTAACGATCTCATTTCGCTCCTCGATTTCACTTGATCTTCGAAAATAATTAAACTACCCTTAGATACAAGTTCAAGAATCCGATGGCTTAATTAACGCGTTCAGCATCAGATTCAACAACTGGCTTTTCTCAGCGCAGCACACCGACTCATGATGGTACATCCTCTCAAAGTTCGAGCAGTTGAAATATTCCTTGTCCCAATTTACGTGCCTACGTGTGTAAATGTACTTCAGTCTCACATTTACCCTGGAAAACTTTGCAAAGGATTGTGTGGCGTATAGCAAGGATCAAGTAGCAAAAACACACACACACACACACACACACGTGTATGTAGCAAGTGTATACGGCAGCTTTACTTTGCCGAAAGTTGTGACATAATTAGATTTTCTCTCTCACGCGCATTGGCACGCAAAGTATCGGATTTCCAAGTAAGAGCCTCCCTAGTTTGTGCTTTTCTGCTGCTGCTCTTTATTTTGCTCTGTGCATCGGGAAAGGGTACCTCTGATGTCTCTGACACGGAGGTGGGAGGGAAAACCTCGTGAATTGTTGATGATTTTGCGGCGAATAGCTTTTACTCCACCACTTCCCCCCTCAAACCTCTCGGTCTCTCTTTACTTTGTATTTATATCCGCTCAAGTTTTGCCTCAGTTTTGATTTCATTGAAAAAATGGAACGTATAGTAAGATCAACAGTCGTACAATCTGTCAAGGGAGCCATTCAATTATTTATCTCTTTAAAAAAAAAAAACAAGGCTTTTGATCGCTCATCTCACGTAGTAAGTATGATTGATTCGCCGTTGGTGTTTAATTTTCCAGCATCGTCGTCCCCGACAGCAAGACGTGAAAATTAAATTAACGAATGTAACGCGAACCGAGTAATTTTAATTATTCACGCGTCCGACTTACAAAGCAGCTCGTGTACAACCAAATCGAGAATATCTCATCGAAGCTAGCTGTCTGTCAGCGAGAGGGGCATTACAGCGTTGAATAAAACAGTATTTTCAAAAGCAGACATCCGATTTGGATGAGAAGACAAAACAGGACATGTACGTGCATATCGTGGGATTATACTTTGGTATCGAGATGGCGTGAAAATGTTCACCAACACCTTGTTACATTTTGTTTGTGCAAAATAATACGTGGTTTTTGATTTACAAGCTTGTTGGTACTGAAAAATTTGGATCGATAAAAGGATGGTCTAAAAAAACAGTGTATTCAACGAAATTAGCAATGATGTTTCAAGACACGCGAGAATGAGACGATGCATATTTGCGAAAAGTAAATAATGAAAAAAAAAAAAAAAAGTGCGTAACAATATCACTAAACACCGCCAGTAGTAATGCCTCTTAATGGTAATTAACGGGCATTATCCGTACACCTATACGTGATCCCGATAGCGCTTGTTAATTTGATGGGGTTATTCATGGGCTTTGTGTTAGAAGGGAGGAGTACAGGTATTGATTCAAGGCGGTGGGATAGTAATATGGTCTCATCAGATGCAGACAAAAGAGCAGATGTTAGCATAGCTAACTCCACCTGGTTTTATTACATTTGTACAAGTTTGGATAAACGTTTTGAGCGAGGAGGACGTGATATAGAGCTGAGCTTCTGCATTGCCTTGAAATTATCCGGAATTTTCTGATAACTTCAAGATATTTGAAAATGTTTTTTTTTTTTTTTTTTTTTTAGAATTGTTAGTGGATGCGTTCCAGGTGGTGCCCAGTTGGTTTCGTTGCCTGCGTGGTTGTACAAATATACATTCGGGAGCTTGGGGTTTTTTATTTGAAAATTTTTTTTTTTTTTTTTTTAATTCAATGGACAGTGATTGAATCCGATTGATATTTTTGGATCATGCGCCTTTCTACTCATTTTCATATTTTTCTTCCAGCGCAAAGTATTTTCAGACTGTTTCCCACGTGACACCTGCTTCCTCGGCCCTATTACAAAACGAAACTTCAGTTATGCGGAGAAAAAAATCAAAGGCTGAGAAATTGTGAGTTAAATTCGCGTCCATCATTCGCGAAGCAACGTAAATAGTTATACTGGATGGGCTCAGTCGATGAAAAAAAAAATGTATTGCTCTTAAAAAACACTCCGATCACGCGTCCCAGAGAAAGGTGAGGGGGTGAGATGATCGGCACTCCTTTAACGTCTTAGCCTATACCAACCACGTTCAGGTGCTTTTACATACATCGAGCTCAATTTGGTTTCCCCCACTTGTGTTGTTAAAGAACAGACGCGATACAATACGTCGCACAAGTATACCCGTGTCACGTTAGAGACGCAAAAAATTATAGGCGCAAGGCGATCTTATCGCTTCATACGACGATTTTTGATATGTACAGGAATGAAACGCACGTATTCTTGCACTTGCAAACTTCATTATTCCTCTTTTTTTTTCTTCATTCTTCACCCTCGTCTATTGTACATACAACACACTTTTTTTTTTCACTTACAATATCCATATAGTTTTCAACGTACAGCGACGACGTACCTATATGTAACACACAGAATAGGCTAATAATGCCGCAGAGCTGGGCTGCCCTGCAGGTATGGTAGATGTGTAAGTATATATTTATACAGAACAGGCAGGAGGAGCGCTACTCCCTCAAAATGCCTCGAGATAATTCTTATTTTTTCTTCTCTTCGTATTATCGCGTGAAAAGGACGACAGTGAGGATCCACAGGATACCGAAGGACGTCACCGCAGTCGAAACGCTTGCTTTAGTTCCTGAAACACAGAGAATAAACACAATATCATGTATTTCTGCGAATATGTATATATTATATGGTATACGGTGTAGATAAGTAGGTATGTGTGACAACTAAGTACATGGGGTGTGCTGAACCCCAAGCGCGGCTGCCGCGGAAGGTTCGCTGACACGTAATAAAAGGGAACGAAGCAGCATAGAGTTGGGGCTGCGATTTTCTGGGGGGTTGAGACTCGGGGCTGTAATTTTCTCTTCTTCTCCAAAGACGGGACTGTGCATGCAGCGTCTCGGTTTTCATTTACTGTGCAATATTTTCTCTCATTTTTTACAAGGAATACGTACAAGCCCATCGATGTTATGGTTTGAATTTTTTCCATTTTCGTTTTTTACGCTTATTTCTAATTTATCCATTGTTCAAATAGACGGGAGCATCCGAAAGGGTTTTAAAATATATAAATCCCAGATTGAAGATCAGTTTGGATGTAGGTTGTCTCGCAAGCCCAAAGAATTCAACAGAAGGCTGATCCAAAGTATATACTTAATTGCCGCACGTTTCAAACGATTCATTTTTAAACAACAATAAAATGCAGCAAAAACTTTTTTAATCATCTCAATATTCCACTCAAAGTCCTTTCAAGGTAATAAATAATATCAGTAGAAATACGATGAAATGAAATGCGGAAAATGGTAAAAAAACGAGTATAAAAGAGAGACAGACAGGAAGGGAAAGTCGCGGCAAACTGGCATTCAAAAAGTTTTGAAAAGAAAGGGGCATAATAAAAGGCAATAAAAAGAGCGAGAGGGCGAGATAACGCTAGTGCACTTTGCGGAGGAGACAATGGGGGAGAGGACGGGCACGCTGCTAATAAAATGAGAGCAAAGTGTAAAAGAGAGAGAGAGGGAGAGAGAAAAAACAGCTATAAGCAAGACGAAAAAGCCTTTGGTTGAATTCGTGAGTACAAAGAGCGGCGGGAAAAATTTTCAAATTAACTTCGGCTGTAATCCAGTAATTTTATGAAATGCGCCCCTATCACATTTTTTGCAAATTAAAAGGATAATTCTCGACATCCTACGCAGCTTTTAGCCAATGTTATACTGTTGTTGATCAATTTTCAAAAAAACAAAGCCCGACCAATCGGGTTAGCGGGAAAGAGAAATAGAGTCGATGCCAAATAGAGGCTGCAGCGAGGGGGGAAAAAAAAGTGTGGCGTGAAAAAGCCCGAAACATCAGCCAAAAAACGGGGGGGGGGGGGTCAGTCGCAAAAATACGAGGGACAATAAACAGCAGTAAAAGCAGTCAGGGAAACAGTGCAGAGCAACGAGCGAGCAAGGGAGAGAGAAATAAGATAAATAGGCATTTTTAGCTTGTTTTTTGCCTGTCGTTTGTTTGATTTTTTTTTGTTGAAAAAAAAAAAAAAAAAAAAAAAAAACCAGAAAAAAATTGCATGCAAATATAGAACGAGACGAGGACGAATGGTGTCACACAGACTAGCCGGCGCATAAATGTTGTTCATTAAAGGAAAAAAAGTTTCAAAATGACCAGAGATTCACCACCGCTTTTTGTTACCGCAAAATGATTTTTCTTCTTCTTTCAATCGCAGGGGTTGTGCTATGCCGTTGGAGTGCCGCTTCAAGTTGTGAAAACAACTTATGGATATCAAAGCCGAGAGGTGATTTGAAATTTTAATTATAATAAGAAGATTCCGAGCGAGCACGAAAAAACACACCATGACCGCGAGCTGTCGATCGACGAATAATTTTGATGGATGTATGTATATATGTATTGTTTTTTCATACATTAGATCCTGGTGCGACTATAGGCGTCATGAATAATTTTAAAACCACTCCCGGTTGCGCCAACTTAGAGAAAATCGGAGATTTATCCCGTGTAATAAATAACCCTCGAGCCCGAGAACCCCTTGCATGTACATTTTTATTCGCGATGGATTGAAATGTGAAATGATGCTTTTGATGGATCGCGGGGCTCCGTTGAACAACTCACCCTCGGTTGATAACTACGTTACAAAAACGAACTTAAAAAAAAAAAAAAAATGGTTTGTCTACTTGTGCCATGCTCAAGGTCTTCTCGACACTTGTTTCTACGTAAAAGTAATTCGAGTCATACATATTTCGATTTCGCTCTTTATCATCCTTTTGTACGTATTTCAAACAACACCGTAGGATATTTGTAAGGAGGTGCACATTATTTCGCGTGCTCGTGCAGATGGCAATGATTATTTTCGAGGCAGATTTTTTAAGTCAAACGAATGGGTGCTCGTTAGCCTTCCGGGCGTGCAGTGCGCGCTTCTAACGTGACAAATACAGCCGATGTATCTTGGCGTTGGTTGGCACGGCTGTGATGGTATACAAACTAAAAATCGCCCGCATCGCGACTAGCCGGGATTGTTGATGCTGTCGGTGATTTTTTTCGCGAGTAGATATTACCGGACAACTCGCGAACTTCGAAAGGTGATTTTTTACATGCATATATACGTATGTGAACTTTACAGGGCGACCTATATCGATCCATACATATGCAAGAATATTACAGAGTTTTTTTTTGTCGAAAAACATTTTTTTTTTTTTAATTTTCAATGTAATTTTACTCGGAAATCGACCACTCGTTTTTATCATCATTTGTGTAAGGATGTGTTTATTGTACAGAGTACCGAAAAATAAATGTATAACTATAAATAAAACATTGGTAACGCGAGTGTTCTTTAACAGGCTTCACAAGTGTTTGCCATTGTTTTTGAGTTTGTGTACATAAACATGGCTTTGTATTCTTATCCTCTTAATCTTGTATGCATTGAACTTATTATCTTTATTGTGTCTTTATCGAGGTATCTCTGCCTCTGCACGTTTTTTGTTCTTTATCATTGTATTTTCCATTATTTTCTTTATACGTATTTGTTGTTACTTTGTACTACATTTGTTACTTTGTACAGCTGTTGTATTTTTTTTTTAATGTTGAATAAACCGGTAGAGTATAAAAACCATCCGAATTGCTTGTTCGGAAAATTGGAATAACTACAGTCGCTCTACCAATAATCGAGACGCGAATAAAAAAAAGAAAAAAATAATACTTAATGGATGCGTGAAATGTCGGACTCGAGGTGGGCAAAAAATGAGAAAATACAATAAGTACATGCATGCATGTTAATACACTCAATCCGGGCGAATCTCCCGTAAAATCGCGCGCGAGAAGGCGAGAGGAAAAAAGTGCGCGAGTCGATTTTCGATGCGCCGTAAATACCTGCGAACCGCGTATCTTTTTTTTTTTGTATGGATCTCTTCTTCTTTTTTCCCAGTAAAGAGCGATCGGATTTGTGGGATATGGGACGTGACCTCGCAAAGTCTCCGGTATTTGCATGCAAATATTTTTTCGAAAATGGACCGCCGCGAGGGAGGGGGTGGCCGGGTCGGGGATTCGCGCCTCGACAAAATATGTTGCCGGCGGGCTCCCATCCCTCGTTCGTACATTAATCACTGCGTGAAAAAAGATGCTGCGTCGTACTTTTAATTTACGCTCGACCACTCCTATAAAGTATACGCACACGCGGCGTTCGTTTTCTCCCCGTTTGCGGATATAGGTTCTTCAATTTTTTCGTTCATACCCGCCTCTTTGGCTATATACCGCGTTAGGGGTTACATACGGAATATTTCACGCTTTTAAGGAATAAATGAGAAACGGGAATAGGCATTTTTTCGCGTCGTATTGACGTTTTTTTGAAATAAACACGGCTTCATAATTTTAATGGAAAATACGTGCGAATGCGCACCGTCGCCGTTTTATTTATTTTTTATTCTTTTTAATGTTTCCATTACTGTTATCAAGCACAATAATCTTTGTCATTATTATAATATTATTACTACTGTAGCCCCTTTGTCGAGCTATGGAACAAAATCACAATTATTATTATTATAACTACTTTAACTACACGATCATCATAATCATGATCATCAAAGTCCCTTTGGCGCAGCTAAAATGTATTTTACGAGCCATGGAATGGAAACACGCACAAAGTGTACGAAATAATATACTTGCAGTACATCGATTAATCAACAATTCGATCGAGGAGTGTATAGGTGCATCGTGTAAAGTGGAAAATATTTTACGTGATCGGAGCAACGCATCATTGGGACACAAAAGCGACGTTCTTTGATGTCATTGTCGTTATTTTTACGTATGAATATTAAAAGCTTTCATGTGATTACTTTGTATTATGTTATTACGATGATAAAAGCACTAGCGCGTAAGTACATTTTGATGTTACATGAAATTAAATTATGTCGCGTGAATTGAAAACTGATGAAAAATCAATACAATGTTACTTTTATGTTCTTCAATATAGCGTTTGCGTGCCGCTCCACTAATTAAAAATGATCGAGTAAAGTTCGATCACGTTTGTGGCTGAGACGAAGCGAAAATTGTTTGTACAGATTTCGCTCGAATTATTGGAACTATTTGGAATCGGATTACCCTGGTATGAGTAAACACGTCATGTTACACAATTACAAGCGGGTTGAAAGTTTTCGGTTAAATAACGAAATTCTACTCGAAAAATCGCCCTTCAATAATAAAGAAAGAGAAAAAAAAAACTGAAAAGTTTCGCGGTCGAATCGAATTACATGCCTTTCGTTCTTCCATCCTTTCCAGCCATTCCTTACAACCACGAAACTCCACGGGCCGTCGGAGAAAGTCAATAAAAGTTCGGAGCCGGAAGTTGAGTTGATTAATTCAAAACACAAATTACAGGCCGATGTACCTCGAGTGCGAATCGATCAAAGTACACGTGTACACCAGCGGTATGGAAAAGATGTGTAAGCACGACCCGAAATAACATCTCTGGTCGAAAAGGGGAGGAATGTGGTCGATTGGAGGAGGTAAATGTTAAGTACACGCAAAGTTTTGGCGCTGGCGCGGTGAGAAAGAACTTTCGGCTCTTTTAATGCGATGCAAAACTCAAGACGAGAAGCGAAGCTCGCGGAAATGAGAATTGTTTTGCGACGCGTAGGATAACAATGAGGGGTGGAAATATAAGCCAAACTATTCGGAAAATTTTGTTGGAACTTGTCGGGAGGAGCGAGAGCTTTGGGAATTCTTTTGTTATTTCTTCTTGTTTTGCTTCTTTCTCAATATCAAAGTTTTGCGATGAATTTCAACGAAACGCAGCGCGCTTTTGTGTTCTACTTGTGTTTCTTTTCGTTTCAGTCTATGTGCACATCCAACTGTCGACTGACTGCAATTGCCTATAAGCCACTTTTATTTTCCTTTGGTTTCTTTATATACCGTAACGTTTGTTTTACCATTCATTTCATTTATAAACTTTACACAAATTTACCAAGAAATTATTTGAAAGTCTTGATAACTTACCCAACGCGTAAAAAGTTAGGTGCCCTTTTTCGTGCGCAAATGTACAAAAAACGTTTGTACTCATTCTCTAGTATCCCATTTTAATCTATTACTGACAATATTTTGTTAATCAAGCCCTAGATTTTTGTGAATTACTGGGATTCGAGGAGGTCATTATATTATGACATTAGATTTAAAGACCAATACTTACTTTTTTTTGTTAAACTGAGATTATTTGAAGGTTTCATAATTTATTTATTACAAAAAGTGACCTTTGTGAGAGTTAATGGGTTACAGAGGGTTCAAGTTGACGATCCTTAAAGGTCAATTTGACCATTGAGACGCAAAATATAATATACCTCTCAAATATGTTGTTTAAAGCGGGGGTTACTTAAAGGTCAAGGTAAAATTTATAACGCTACCATTAAACTGTGCCTTTTAAATTTGTTAGTTCTTACAAAGGTAATTTATTTATTGGTAAATTAAAATTTCATTTTTTCTTAACCAAATTTTATCATTCTATTAATTTTTTTCTTAATAGATTTAATTTAGCAATTTACTTTGGTAATTTTTCTCATGAAACCACGTTGATTTTCACGAGCTTTTTTTCTTACCCACGAGTATGAGTTTGAAACTGCGTTTTTACAGTTTCGAAAATTCGCCCTCGGCTGCGATACACACAAAAGGTTCGAGAAAGGAAAACACGGGAATAAAAACTTTTCGTTCAGCGCGTAGTCTCTCCTTTTCGTGACTTTGAAAAAAAGTATAAAATTACATTGTTACGCGAAATTTATACTGGTGACGAAAAAGTGAGGGAACCCGTCTCGAGCAGCCAGAAAAAGCGAGCGAGTGTGACGAGCGTGTAGGTGATGTGTTTTTCGCTTTAGGAAAAAGGGGCTCTCTGGTATCGCAACGTTTTTGCGTGGGGAGAAAAGAATTGGTATTTCACCTGACTTCGAGGGAGCGAGAAAAATCGTGAGAGAAGATAACTGCCGAATTTTCCACGTTAACAAGATTTTCAGACGTTCTCCTCGCGATAAAAACACGCCTCTATTAAATATCTTTTTTCTATCCTCGTGTTTATTCTAATGTACGTCTAAAACGATGCATCCGTTGACCAAAAAAACAAATAAACAAATGACAAACTCCTACCACGTCTACATTACACGAAAAGAAATTCCCACGGTAGAGCAAAAATTTTAAGGACTCCTCTTTTTTTCTGAGACAGGAGCCAAGATGGTAAGAACAGGGGAAAGAAAAAGATCACGTCACGCCTGGGGGAGCAGAGACGAGATTTCCCTGGACGTCAAATCACTGCAGTTTGCTCAAACGCCACTGCCTCCGCTTGGGTACACAAAAAAAAACCTAAGACCCACACACCTGCGTTGTAGTCGTTCCTCACGTGGCTCTGAGCTCGTGTCTCCCGGCTCTCCAGTGGCTGTTTGAAGAAGCTACTGTCGCCGATGACCCGATGCTCCTCGACGCGCTTGTACACCAGTGGTATGGTGGCGATGCACTTGAAGTGGATGTCACCGTGCAGGAAGTGGCTTGGCTTTACCTCAAACTTTAGACCAAGTTTTTCGATTTCCAGGCCATTCTTGTCCATTCGGTGGCTGCGGGGACCAATCGTCTTGTTATCCGTGATCTGTGATACAGAAAAATGGCCGATGGACTGTTATACAATTGGTAATGCCTTCAATTGTTAAATAAAAGTTATGTTTTACACTTGAAAATATGTCTAGACCAGCTTTACCAAAAAGATCCATACGGTTGGGTATTGTGTATTTACACGAAAGGGTAGAAGTGAATCTATACATTTTTTTTGTTTATAAAATTGGATTTTTGCAATTCAAATTGTGTGTAAAGGTCTTGCTATATTTAAATCGAAAATAAAGATATTTTTAAAGGTTTGAAAAAAAAATGCCAATAATAAAACTCAAAAGAGAAAAATAATTACTTAGCGAAGGGGAGGAGGGCGAGAAATTTTAAAATCAACGCTTGAAAAAGTTACGATTTATTTTTTGGTCATGCACATGATGTAAAATGACAAAATGACTTTATACTAAATAATATTTTTTCAAGCCAGTACGTGACATGCAGATGACATGGAATGAACTTTTTGGTTGACGTCGTTTTTAATTAAAAATATTTTTCAAAAGTCTTTGATAAAATTTTTTACTCGGGAAATGAAATGTTACGTTTGGTGTCATGTTTTCTTGTTCATTTTAACGTTAACTTGTAATTTGATGCATTTTGAAATAAGTATTCGTGGAGTAAAAAATTAATGTTTTTGATTTATAATTAAAAAATTCAATTAAGCAAAAATTAGAAAAATTCGAGTAAGTAAAAACTTTTTTTACTGCGTATACTGGAAAAATTCGATTCCTTGTCCAAAACAAATTATAAAAAATTCGAAATAAATTCCAATCTACTTGAAACTTTAACGGTAAAAGTCAATGTAGATTGTACTTATATGGAAGGAGAAAAACATTCAATGTACCGGATTCACTGATCAATCGTCAGACAATTTTCGCCGTCCGGATTTAAACGGGCGCGGGAGAGCCTTCCCGCTATATTTCACGCAAAAATTTCATTTCAGGAGAGACTCACTTTTTCACACAGGCGGACAAAAGGGCCGAAAGCTCGCGGAGTCTTTATCGCGCCGCTCTATTGTTTAACGGCTCCCAGCATCCGTGGATTCGCGCCGATACTCAATCGAAAAAATTCTAGTCTATGCTCCCTCGCATTTCCTCTCCTACACGTGTGTAGGTACTGTTTCAATGACACGTATCCGCGGGGAGTCAGAAAATCTATGCAGCCAAACCTCATCTGCGGAATTAAAGGTCTTGTCGTTCTCGGCGTCTCTTTCGGCTTACGTATACGAAGTTATACCCTACACATTGCATAGAGACAAGTGAAGCAATTTCATACGTACACACACACACTCACACACACACACACACAACTTCCACCTCCAGCCGAATAAAATTCTCATTTCGCAAGAGGTCTTTTATGTAACGTGCCCGCGCCTATCATCCGATTGCTCTTTTTTTCCTTTGTTTTTTGCTCAGCCAAACGGAAATCGAATGGATACCCCTCCCCACCCCCTTTTTTTTGACAAACGGTCTTTTTTGTAGCGAACGTGCGCGGTGCGACAGTTGGGAGAAATAGAAACGCGATTTTGTCTGGATGATGGAAAAAGTGAAATGGCGCTTGATTGAACTGTTATTTTGCAATTGTTGGGTTGTTTGGTTGTGAAAGTACAAGTGAAACAGCTTTTTCCTGTAAAGACATTTGCACCGCAGATGCGTAATGCCTTTAACCTCCTCACCAGCGTTTTTTTCCTCTTTTTTTTATCTTTTAGATCGTTTTTTCATACAAAAACGCATGTTTGTGAAATTAAGCTGTTTTTGCGATTCAGAGCTTTTTTTTTGATGTTTTTACGTTTGATTTTTTTCATTTAATTGCTCAAAAGAGAAAGTCATAGCTCGGAAAGTGTTGCAAAAAGTAGTTATATGTACATAAAAAAAAGGATATAATATGAAAGGTTCTGTTATCTGGATTTATAATTTTAAATCAAAACATCAAGTAGTAAAATCATGCGCTTCAAAACACATGATGTATAAGATTAGTTAAACCAATTGGAGTTGGAGGTTAAGTAGTACAACTATGTATTTTATCTGACAAATGTTTATCGTATGACAATTACGGACTTTTGAGAAAATGAGAAAATCATTATCCAATGATGTTTTTTTTTTCATGGTAAGATCAGTCTGGTGATTATTAAAAAATAGTCCAACAATAAATAAAGTAGTGTAACAATGAGTTTGGTCAGACATACTTTTTTTTAAAAATAAATATGATACGTAAGAGTTAGAGCTAAACTTTTCCCCATGTCACGCATAAACATAGTTTGCATACTTGAAAAAAAAATCAAGTAGTACAGATATGTGTTTGGTCAGACACGATTTCCTTGGAGAATAAATTCGAACTTCTAGAGTTGTGTTCAACGATGTTTTTTTTGTGACAAATAAGAACAGTCTGACAAGCGGACAGTCAAATGACTAATGAAGTAGCGTAACCATGCGTTTGATCAGACGTGCTTCCTATCCAATATTAAAATCAAAAGTTAAGTAGTTTAAGAAAACGTTTGATCAGACACATCTCTCTCGCAGAACACATGAATTTGCACCCAACGATACAATGTAAAACTTTTCCTACTGTCGATTAAGTTAGTTTGACAACTAAACTTTTTAATCAAGGATCAAGTAGTGAAACCTTGTATTTAGTCAAACATATCTTCTCTTTACAAGGAATTCGAGCTTTGATAGCTCGAACCTAACAGTATAAATTGATGTTGACTTTCATCGTTAATCACAACACTTTGATGGTATGCATTAGTCTCACGTGGCCAACATGTTTACATTACATGGTACATTAAAAGTTTACAATTTATTACCACTGCAAAGTAATTCAGTTAGTTCATACATTGGGAATTGTGATAATCAGCTGATGTATGTTGATTAAACGAGATCCATTACCGAAATTTTAGTATCAAAGTGTACTTAATTTACTTGTAGCAGTTAACCTCTCGATCGAATTAGTGTGGTTAGGATGAAAGGGGGTCATTGAAATTATGAAACAGAGGATCACTTGGTTGTAGGGGGATATTGTGGAGAAAAAAGAGGGAAGTGTAGAAGGGCTCTTTCGACTCGTCAACTTGATTTCCTGGACTCAGCTGTGGGGGCTGCCATCTAATTGCCACGTCGTCTTCGTAAAAAAACTCTGTCGTTAACGATTTTGATCGACGCCAAGGAACAAGAGAAAAAAAATTTGACCAATGCGTAACGGAAGAAACGAAGAGAGAGAAAAAAAATCGGTTACGGGGAAAAGAAAAAAATGAGTGGGCAAACAGAAAAAAACTGACAACAGAAACACACAAAGAAGGAGACGAGAAAGGTAGGGGACAAAAGTTTTGGAATACGGCCATAAATCCATAGCATGAAGACATTAAACTCTCTCTCTCTCTCTGTCTGGCTTGAGCAAAAGAGACTCGACTGTATGTGGTCTTCTTGCCTGTCTACTCCACAACTGCCACAGCGAGTCTCTTAAAATAAATATATACACTGGAATCTTTGCGGCAGGTCCTCTTAGTCTCCCCCTACGTAACACATACAAGCTTGATTAGCATTTAAAAGCATTTTTCGCTCCTTGACTCTCTATCTCTCTCTTTCTACTGTTTTTTGTTGTAAGGGGTGTGTACGTATTAATCAAAAAAGTACTTAAGCTCAGATACGAGGCAGTGAATACTTGCGTTCGTAAAAATGATTTGTACGCGATTGTGCGGGTCTCGCGTGGGAAACCAATTTTGTATGCAAGAGGTGTGTGACTATCTGATTGTACCCATATAAAAATGAATAATGTACGAATAGCAGAGATAGTGGAGATAATGTACCCTTGGGTTATGTACTTAGAAAGGCTCCATTAATTTTCACATATGTGCAATGCAAACTATTTGGTGTTTGTAAGACAGGAGGATACAAAGTATTGTATTAAAAAAAATTTTAACAAGATACATAATGTTAATACCGTAGCTTTTTGGTATTTACAAACTTTTGGTCTCGCGCAGAGTGATCAACATTTTTATGAGGCACTGAATCAAAGCGATTGCAAGGTGCGAAATTGTTTTGCATGATTAAATAACATCTATTTTCAGTTGTACTGCTCATGAAAAGATGGGTAAATTCGACCTGTAGGAATAATATAGAAAAAAAATTATTTTTGCCCAAGATGTGTGATTATACCGAACCCAGACCCATTGTACGGTATGTTTTAGAAATCTTAAACGATATTAGCATTGCGCTGCAGCAAAGACCACTTTGGGTTACAACGAACCTTAAAAACCTAAGATTTGTTGGAAAAAGGTGTAAAATCCGGAAGACTCGAGAGGCTGTATTCTCGATCCGCACACGTGTTTACGTGAAGCATAAAATCGCCGGAAAACGAGAAGATGCACGTGGGTGCGGTGTAACGTGGCGGGGAAGAAACGATCGTCGCAGAAAGATAAACGGAACGGCTTTTTAAAAATCCTCCGGGGAACCCCGCTATCCTTCTCTCTGTGCCAGCTGCTCCTGCGGGGTCAAATAAAAAAAAAAAAAAAAAACGAGGACAACGACGACGAGCGGAAAAGAAATGTTTCGCGTGTCGGCTTTTATTATGTCCCGGTGGATGCTGTTAACTAGTTCGACCCCCAACTCGAGCCACTGCTGGGACCCCACGTATATCTTCCGCGTACTACCGCTGCGGTGTATTACACGCTCTGATGCATTGTCTTTCGGGAGTGAGCTGGAAATCGTCATTTTTCATCCGGACGCGTGTTGGTCTCTTTTGATTTTTTTCCTCCATTAAAAGGAAACACAGAAACGCTCGCGTGTTTTTCGCTGCGCGAGTTTTTTCTTCCGCCTTGCCTTCATTAAACGAGGATCAAAGCGTCCGTGATTTTTTTTTTTTTTTTTTTTTTGAGCTCTCACGCGCACGGGAACCATTTATATTTCTCTCTTTGAACAGCTTGCAGAAATAAAAGTTTGCAAATATTTGTTTTTCTGTGAAGTAAAATTATTTAAACGCGGGCTGTTTGTTGGGAAA